AAGGATTACAAAACAGATTATGTTGCGTTCATTGTTTTTGGTTGCAGTGTGTGTATATTTGTTTTTTGTTTAGAGTGATACATTTTTTTTGTTTTGTCAGCCTACATTTTTTGTTTTCTCGGCCTACAATGTGTATGTTTTTTTATTTCTTCAGAGTGCTACTTTCAATTTATTTTACATCATAGCGAAGCAACAACTTACAGCTTATATATATATATATATATATATATATATATATATATATATATATATATATATATATATATATATATATATATATATATATATATATATATATATATATATATATATATATATATATATATATATATATATATATATATATATATATATATATATATATATATATATATATATATATATTACAAATTCGGCGCCGTTTTTTTTTGCTTTTTTCGCTCCCCCTACACTGAAAACCTGGATACGCCTCTGAGTATAGGCCTCCTGTATTAAAGATGGATGGCTAAAATGAGCATGACAACTCAAGCAAAGGCTACACTTGTTGATTAGATCGATATGTGGGTGGGTTGACTGTCCATACCCAGCAAGAATAACGCCAACAGCAGATGTACAGGCGCTAACGTGGATTGACATTGTGACAAAAAGCGCCTCGCTCGTGACTGTCGAACAGCTAGGCTCGGAGAAGTAAGCCAAGAAGTATACACATTAAAAATGTGATGTTTAGGCTACATAACTGTCTTACATACATAATTTCAGTGATGTGTTTACGGATTTTTTTTTGTTTTTTGGTTATTTTGTGTTGCTGAACTTGTTTTGAATTACTCTTCAAAAAGGCGTCACTTTCCTTAAAATGGTCAGTCGTAGGGGGCGCTCCCCCTGCTCCCCCCTGCGTACGCTACTGTTTCTTGGTGATAAAAGCCTCGAAAAAAAGTTAGGATTTCAAAATTAAAAGGACAAGTTGGTAAATTCAGGCTTCGTCTATGTTGGGGGTATTTTCGTTAAAAAGAAAAATCTCCCACACAAAGCAGGCATTGAGATCTATAAATGTTTCTAATAGACAAAGAGCGAAAATATTCACATTCCAAAGCCCAGACGAACAGAGGAGCGCCAGAAATAGAAGTCTCGCGCTTCTCTATCAACCAATGAATAGTCTTATCTCCCTTGTGTCGGGCAGGATGTTGGCGCAGGACGAGAATACTTCCGTTATTTGTGTAAACAAGTAGTGCTGCTAGCCTGTTCTGTTGGGGGGGGGGGGGAATGGGCTAAGATTTGGGTAACAAATAGGCCTAGGGAGGCCCTAAAAAATAGTAGACACCTAAGTTGTTTTGTGTGTGGAGACCAGAGGCGTAGCGATGGTGAGGGGGGGGGGTGCAGGGGGAGTACATATGTCCCCAGGCGCCGACCTTAGGGGGCGCCAAAATGGGTTGTAAAAACAAATAAAAATGTCATTTTAGCTGGATTTTTGCATTATAAATAGTTTGAGGGGGGGGGGGTGCGCAAATTGAAAATGTGCTCCCGAGGGGGGCGCCAAATTGAAAGTTTGTCCCCGGGCGCCGGGAAGGACAGCTACGCCTCTGGTGGAGACCTAAGATTTAAGATTTGTGTGTGGGGACATACCATTGTGTGTGTGTGTGTGTGGGGTTGGGGTTCATTTAAAAAAAACTAAAAAAAAACAACAACAAAAAAACAACAACATTAAAACGAAGTTTGAAAGTAAATCTACATGTTGCCCATAATATAACACGGTCAACTAATTACTGCTCTGTTGCTAAATCAAAAATACCATCACTCTATTCTGACTACTTTACGTTACCATGTACGCAGTCAATTTAATATCAGATTATCACTAGTTCCTAGTGGAGTAGATAGATTTTAGTAATGTGCATAAAAAGTGACGGGCTAGCTGAAAAGATAATTATAACACTTCAAGCGATACTGTCGAGATATAACTTTTCAATAAATATTACAGGTATTCCAAAAGAGAGTTAAAAATACCGTAACAAATTAAGCCAATTTAAAGACATCTAACCTTAAATCAGTCACAGAATTACTCATTTAAAACTTTACTTAAATTTGCTAAGTACATATTCTTTGCACCTTGCAAATATTATCCCACCTTTATACCTGACTTCTACACAGCAAATAAACCACTATATCCTCCCCTTCCTCAGCAAACGCAAGAAGCTTTTTGCTCCCCCCCCCATCCTCTTATTGACAACGTATCCCATACCTTCCATCATTGCCAAGCTTTGTAAAGAAGCATAATTGGTAAACCCTGTTACAACTAAATTAGATATATTAAAGCATTAACAGCTACATTCAATGAAAACAAGATTTTCGTCCGTAACGTACTGGACATGAACGTTTTGATTTAGTTTTCTATTGACCTATAAACCTTTAAACTATTAACCTATACCCCATTTAGCAAGTAACCTATACCTCTTTTAGCTACTAAAATATAGGCGTACAGCTCTTAGCTATTGAACTACACACATTTTAGTCAACATAATTTAATAACAAGGAATACAAAATAATAGTTGAGAAGAGAAGTCAAAAGTGGGTCAGTCGTTTTGTTAAAAAAACAAACAGGTAAAGTCATGCATTACCTTAAAGTGATGTCAAGTCACAGATAATGTGGATAAGACGTTGAGAACTTACCTGCTTATTTTAAATTATCAAACAGTGTCAGCTATTTAATTCGGTAGGAAAGTGCCTCGAGCTAAACTATTTGTTGTGTGGGATTCCAGACCTGACTATTCATATATATATATATATATATATATATATATATATATATATATATATATATATATATATATATATATATAGGCCTATATATATATATATATAGGCCTATATATATATATATATATATATATATATATATATATATATATATATATATATATATATATATATACATATATGAATAGTCAGCTCTGGAATCCCACACAACAAATAGTTTAGCTCGAGGCACTTTCCTACCGAATTAAATAGCTGACACTGTTTGATAATTTAAAATAAGCTGGTAAGTTATATATATATTTATATCCCATGTGTGATTCAGGTGTGCATATGTGTAGGTAAGTATGTGCATGGGAAGCCTATTTACATTTGTAGGTCTGCAAATTAAAACGACTCTCGCCTAATTATTCAATCCTGATTATTCCTAATGAAAAATATAATCCCACGGCTTTCGGAGGATTAACGTTTTGACATTTAGATCGATCCTCGACACGAACAAGCCCTACATCACACATTGACGGTCATCACGTGATCGCTGGTGATGTGCTCTATCTACGATTGGGCGTATTGATCTGGCAGATGTGCACGAGAACAATCGAACTAGTGGCCCTTACCCCCCCCCCCCCCCCCACACACACATTCCGACACACCTGGGGGCGGGGGGAGGGATAGGATCAATTTGAAACCTCGTGAGTATTTAATCGGCCATAACGACAATATGTTGTCTGTCCATATTGATCAGAGAGATGGGGGGGGGGGGTTGACATGGGCGTCTGCAGTTTTTATTTAGTGTGTGTGTGTGTGGGGGGGGGGGGGGGGAGTGTCATTCGATTGTTGGTGACCCAAAGACACGACAAGAAAAGTAGTGATGTCATGTAAATTCCTTAAAATTCGTATATGATACCAAACTTCATGCGAAATAAACAATTTCTAATGTCCTTGAACTTGGCTCTATAAGTTCCATCTCCTGCATATAACTCAAAAAGGTATGTATAAAATCTTCCCAGACCTTAAATCTGTCAAAGCTAAAAAAATATAAATAAGACTATTAAATTTTCAACTTGTTGAATATTTTAATTTTAAAAATTGTTATAAATAAAGAGAAAATGTCAATCTGGCAAGTGTGTACAATTTACCTGCGGCTATGCAAGTCTTAGCAGACGGATATAGCCAATTATTTACTGTAGTTTGATGGCTTTGTACTGCGGTTTCATGGTTTTACAAGCATTTTACAGTGGTTTGACAACTATTTACAAGCATATTAACAGCGGTTAGATGTCTTTACAAGCATGTAATCAGCAGTTTAAAATCTTTACAAGTATATTTACACTAAAACCTGTACGCAACAAGTTGAAGTCTGCTATAAAACGAAGCCAACAATGGATACTAAATCACCGTGTTCCTATCCTTGTGATTTATTAACCAGACATTACTGCTCTATAACTTCAGCTCTCCCTAGCGGTGACTGGTCCCTTAAATACCGTTACAGCATGTTTTCATCGACCTGCTGTAGCCTACAGTATTGACTGTCTAGCCGACAGACATCGAACAGGTGAGCCTATGTATCGTCTGCTACCTGCCCACTCGCGAGGACCGGATATTTTTTTATCCAATTGAAATTGCCCAGACAAACTTTCTGACGACCGTCTCGAGACTTTCACTGAATAAATAAAATACACTTTTTAAAAACTCCACAGTCTATTATTTTAAAGGTTCTCAAAAAAAAAAATAAAAAAAAGAAAAAGAAAAATGAAAAAAAAAAACCTAAAATTTTATTTACATTGTTTTAATTTTTTTTTCTCTTTTATCAACACACTATTTATAAATATGGACTTTGTATTATAGTTAAAAACCAATCCAGTACAACAGACATCAAACCATGCCCCGACTCTACTGCTGATACAAACGGACCCAGACATCGTCAGTTTGAGAGCGGCGGGCCCAGTCACGCTCGCACGACTAGTCTAGGAATGTTTACAGACGGGGCTCGCCTTAACTCAACACCGGAGGATTACGTTAGCCAATAGATGATTGGGTGAGCATAAAACTTAGCGACATTTTTCTAGCGGAATTCTTACACTGGATATACACACAAGAACACTGGCGGTGATTTGTGAGATTATACTCGTATTTTTTTTTTTACACAGGACATCAGATATGTTGCTGAATTGACTAGATTATAAGAATTTGAAACTACGAATTCTACATTCACACTTTAAGGATTAACATATTCTGCGTGAATGATGTCATATACTGAATGTCATTTCTATAACGTTAAACTTGATCATTGATTGAATTTGATATTTGTCACACGAGTTATCTGGTGAGTAACGTTGCTCTTCTTCAGCTAAATCAAATAATATCTACATCTACATACCTATTTAAAAATACATGTGATTATCTATGAGGAGAGCTAATCTTTATCCGGGTTTCGAACCAGAGCGTTAGTGTTGTTTGTGATAGATGCGCCACTCGACCACCTTATATTGTCACCTTGTTACAACCATCCCTGCTGCCATCACATGTGGGTTTAAGCTGTGGAAGAGGGGGGGGGGGCAATGGGCAGCTAATACACGGGACAGTATATCATAGTGACAGAAATGGTTATACATATATTAATGTACACGTTTGGTGAATATAAGGTGGCAATATAGAGGTGGGTAACTTTAGAGGTGGGTAATATATAGGTGGGTAAATATAGAGGTGGTGGGGTGAATATAGAGGTGGGTAAATATAGAGGTGGGTAAATATAAAGGTGGGTAAATATAGAGGTGGGTAAATATAGAGGTGGGTGGATATAGAAGTGGGTAAATATAGTGGTGGGGATATAAAAGTGGGTAAATATAGAGGTGGGGATATAGAGGTGGGTAAATATAGAGGTGGTGGGGTGAATATAGAGGTGGGTAAATATAGAGGTGGGTAAATATAGAGGTGGGGGATCTAGAGGTGGGTAAATATAGAGGTGGGTAAATACAGAGGTGGGTAAATATAGAGGTGGGTGGATATAGAGGCGGGTAAATATAGAGGTGGGTGGATAAAGAAGTGAGTAAATATAGAGGTGGGGATATAGAGGTGGGTAAATATAGAGGTGGTGGGGTGAATATAGAGGTGGGTAAATATAGAGGTGGGTAAATATAGAGGTGGGGGGAGATCTAGAGGTGGGTAAATATAGAGGTGGATGGATATAGAGGTGGGTAAATATAGAGGTGGGTAAAAATAGAGGTGGGTAAATACAGAGGTGGGTAAATATAGAGGTGGGGGGATATAGAGGTGGGTAAATATAGAGGTGTGTAAATATAGAGGTGGGGGATATAGAGGTGGGTAAATATAGAGGTGGGGGATATAGAGGTGGGTAAATATCGAGGTGGGTAAATATAGAGGTGGGGATATAGAGGTGGGTAAATATAGAGGTGGTGGGGTGAATATAGAGGTGGGTAAATATAGAGGTGGGTAAATATAGAGGTGGGGGGGATCTAGAGGTGGGTAAATATAGAGGTGGATGGATATAGAGGTGGGTAAATATAGAGGTGGGTAAAAATAGAGGTGGGTAAATACAGAGGTGGGTAAATATAGAGGTGGGTAAATATAGAGGTGGGTAAATACAGAGGTGGGTAAATATAGAGGTGGGTAAATATAGAGGTGGGGGATATAGAGGTGGGTAAATATAGAGGTGGGTAAATATAAAGGTGGGGAATATAGAGGTGGGTAAATATAGAGGTGGGGGATATAGAGGTGGTTAAATATAGAGGTGGCGAATATAGTGGTGGATAAAAATAGAGGTGGAAATCTACCAGCAACCCAGCCCACTTTCGTTTTTCCGCTAATGGCCCTTTGTGCCAGACAATATCAGAGACAGAGTTACGTGCCTTGGGCAGAGTTATCTCACCTCACCTTTTCTCAGACGTCTACGCCCTTTCATTCCTCCAAGCCCTGTGTTAACAAAGTCATTCTTCCAAAATATTCTTGTTAACAAAGTCATCCCTCCATAATTTCATGTTAACAAAGTTATCTTTCCAAAATATCATGTTATCAAATCATCTCTCCAAAATATCATGTTAACAAAGTCATACCTCCAATATATATATATATATATATATATATATATATATATATATATATATATATATATATATATATATATATATATATATATATATATATATATATATATATATATATATCCATATATATATATATATATATATATATATATATATATATATATATATATATATATATATATTATATATATATATATATATATATATATATATATATATATATATATATATTACATGTTGACAAAATCATACTTCCACAGCTTCTGTTAACAAAGCACAGACCCCCCCCCTCCCTGGACACACCACGACCCTCAGACGGCCATGGAGCAGCCACAAGTAGCGGCCGCCAGCAACGAGCTCGGCTTGACCGTCCTCAAACATCTCTACAACAAATCTAAAGACGGCCACCTCGTCTTCTCACCTGTTGCCCTGGCCGCAACACTGACCATGACCTTGGCGGGGTCAAGGACCTCCACGGCCTCTTTGATAGCTAAAACAATGCACGTACCGGCGTCCGGTGGGGACAAAGTTCACGAGCAGTTTCGAGAGTATTTGACCTCGCTACAAAGCTCGTGCGACAGGGATGAGTTTTGTCTGGGTGCCAGAGTTTACGTGGACAACAAGTGGCCGGTGCTAGAGGAGTTCAAGTCTCAGCTCCAGAACTGGTATATGGAAGGTAAGCTCCAGAACTGGTACATGGAAGGTAAGCTCCAGAACTGGTATATGGAAGGTAAGTCTCAGAACTGGTTTATGGAAGGTAAGTCTCAGAACTGGTATATGGAAGTAAGTCTCTGAACTGGTATATGGAAGGTAAGTCTCAGCTCCAGAACTGGTATATGGAAGGTAAGTCTCAGAACTGGTATATGGAAGGTAAGTCTCAGAACTGGTATATGGAAGTAAGTCTCTGAACTGGTATATGGAAGGTAAGTCTCAGCTCCAGAACTGGTATATGGAAGGTAAGTCTCAGAACTGGTTTATGGAAGGTAAGTCTCAGAACTGGTATATGGAAGGTAAGTCTCAGAACTGGTATATGGAAGGTAAGTCTCAGCTCCAGAACTGGTATATGGAAGGTAAATCTCAGAACTGGTATATGGAAGGTAAGTCTCAGAACTGGTATATGGAAGGTAAGTCTCAGCTCCAGAACTGGTATATGGAAGGTAAGTCTCAGAACTGGTATATGGAAGGTAAGTCTCAGAACTGGTATATGGAAGGTAAGTCTCAGAACTGGTATATGGAAGGTAAGTTCCAGAACTGGTATATGGAAGGTAAGTCTTAGCTCTAGATCTGGTATATGGAAGGTAAGTCACAGAACTGGTATATGGAAGGTAAGGCTCAGCTCCAGAACTGGTATATGGAAGGTAAGTCTTAGAACTGGTATATGGAAGGTAAGTCTCAGCTCCAGAACTGGTATATGGAAGGTAAGTCTCAGAACTGGTATATGGAAGGTAAGTTCCAGAACTGGTATATGGAAGGTAAGTCTCAGAACTGGTATATGGAAGTAAGTCTCTGAACTGGTATATGGAAGGTAAGTCTCAGCTCCAGAACTGGTATATGGAAGGTAAGTTCCAGAACTGGTATATGGAAGGTAAGTCTCAGCTCCAGAACTGGTATATGCAAGGTAAGCTACAGAACTGGTATATGGAAGGTAAGTCTCAGCTCCAGAACTGGTATATGGAAGGTAAGTCTCAGCTCCAGAACTGGTATATGGAAGGTAAATCTCACGACCTAAACTCTATTTCAAATTTTATTGGGTTCTATTATTAATTTCTATTACCGGCTATTTTTTTTCTAAAATTTAAATTGAAAATTTTTCAAATCCCCTACTTCTCCATGCTAAGTCTTAAGAAGGTTTTTTTTTTCATGCTGTTAATGCCAGATCTGTCTCTTGAAAAAACGTGTATTTGTTTTTTTATTCATTACATAATGCCCCGTGTAAACAATGTGTCACTGGGTGGTATAGCAACCTTGAGGTAACTTATGATGTCCCCTGCATCCGTCAACAATTGTATGTTGAATGTACTAAAACTATAAGCATTTATGTGTCACCACTATATGAGTTGGTGTCTCCCATATCTAATGGTGTTTGTAGCTTTAATAAGCTATTCAACCACTTGAAAATTAGCTATTTTCCAGGCAAATTCTACTCCCCCCCCTCAAACAAAATGGAATTTAAATAGAAAAACGTCTGGAAGAGAACGCTGCTTGCATTGTCCCCCCTTTGGATGAAGTCACCCGGTGCAGTGGCCCCACCCAGTATGAAAGAAAATCTAACAACACATTTAAAAACACCGCAACACACCAGGTCTAATCTCTACACACAGCTTAACACATCTCCTGAATGTTTTGAGAACCGTCCAAGGCGTTGCCTCAGTTTTAATCGCAGACAATCGTGAAATTAATTAACGCCCACTTGTCAAAGTTTGACGCGAAACCTTTTCACATTCCATTTCCGGTTTCTTTTTTAACCGGGGTGTTTTTTGCGTGACACTTTATCAAACGGAACTTACTCGTTCTATTTTTACCCTTGTGAAGTCTGACCCTACTGTAGTGTACTGAATAAAATGTGTGTTATTTGCTTTCAGCCCCGAGAAATATGGATTTAAAACACGAAGCCGGCAGGTCGGAGATCAACAACTGGGTAGCGGAGCTGACAAAAGGCCAGGTAGTTGATCTTCTGGGACCAGGTGCTATGGAGGGGGACATCCGGTTAGTCAGCGGCACCTATGTTAAAGGTAAGCTTTGACCAGGTTCACTTGCACCCCCCCCCCCACACACTTACACACAACTGACACCCAGGATATCTAATTCAGGCAGACATTTTTAGAGCAGGTGTACTAAACTGAAGGAAAGTACGGAGGGCAAGTTTTACCATTCGAGAATGCTTTAAATTAAAAAAATAAAATTTGATCGTCTTGAGTATATTTTCTATTAAATGAGGTGAGGTGGGGTGGGGTGGGGGAGATGTTGGGAGTGAGTACACTTAAAGCAGGTGTTGACTGGCTGTGTGGAACCACTAATTAGCCTATTACAGCACCTTTAATGACGGCCTAGGTATCTCCCCCCACCCCACCCTCTTTTCCACGTGTCCGTGTGGCCAGTTCACCCCTTACATCGCATTGGTATCAACAAACAAAATATTTTCTTTGGTGTTCGTGGTCATGACTGCAAACCTGATAGTCTCGAGTTCGATTCCCTGGCTAGTCACCGAGCTCACCCAGCAGTGATGAGTACCTGGATATTATTGGGGGAGTAAGAACAGCTTGTCATGGTGATAGACACACAGTTTCATCACATGCTGAGTTCAAGAACGACGCAAAAACTTTTTGAAGTCACGTTTGTCTTTCCACGGAATGTCGTATACACTTTTTTTGTTCAAGAATTACTCACCGTTATGTTCTAAATCTATCAAGGTAAAAAAAAGCCTGGTCGTATCTCTCACTATTATTGCACAACAATTCCATTACAACACGAACTTTATATAGAATTTAATGTTAAGGAAAACTAAGCTGTAAAACCTAGTTAGCATTTGAACATTAAAAGAAGTCTCTCTGCTGAAGCGATATATATATATATATATATATATATATATATATATATATATATATATATATATATATATATATATATATATATATATATATATATATATAAATATATAAATAAATAAATAAATAAATAAATAAATAAATATATATATATATATATATATATATATATATATATATATATATATATATATATATATATATATATTGTGAGTTAAAAGGTATTCTTATATATCTGTTGATATAAAGTGTGATAAAAAGGGTGATGTGCTGATGAAGACCTTGGGTCGAAACGTCCATTGTCTTGAATTTGTGAGAACACTCACCCTCCCCTTTATATTACTATTGACAATACATTACTTCACTGCAGCCACCATTTTTAATTCATTTTTTAAATTTCAAAATCTCTACGCCTCCCCACTTCCCACCCCCCTCCCCAGGCAAATGGGACCAACAGTTCCCCCCACAAGGCACCCAGCCCCTGCCCTTCATCGTTGCCCCGGGCCAGTCCGAGAGCGTGCAGACGATGTGCAACACGGGACGGTACCCTTACATCAAGGACAATGAGCTGAGGTTTGCTGCCATTGAGGTGCCCTACAAGGGGAAGGAACTCGGTATGATCATTTTCCTTCCCGACGAGGTTTTCGGTCTTGAGGTAATTCAAATCAGATAAACAAACGACTTAATTATACCGCATATTGATACATTAGGCACATACACAACATTGTTGCACATGAAGTATATTAAAACTATTCATTCTTCGTCAATTCAAAAACAACACCCGTTAAGCGATTTAAAAAAAAATGCCAGAATCACCATCACCCTCACCCCCCGTCCCGTCCCGTCTACAGATACCACGTCCCAAAATGTTAGACAATGGTCGTCACACAGTCAAAGGTCACCTTGTTAATTAGGGCCTAATTCATATTTTACACGAATGGATAAAAAGAATGGTTTATCTTTTTTTTTCATGCGTTAGGTGTGGTAGTATATAATACTGGCTTACATTTTTCTTCACCCCCCCCCCACCTCCCTCATAAGTTATGTTAAGTGCGTCAAACTATCCAAGTTTTATGCAATAGAATGTTCTCGATCTCTTCTAAAATTCTAAAATCTAAATCATCCTTTAATACTTGCTGGGTCGTTGGGGCGCCACAGTGTGGTCTGTCTAGGGCATGGCGGCACCCACCCCTCTCCACCCCTCTCCACCCCTCTCCACACCTCTCCACCCCTCTTCATCCCTCTCCACCCCTCTCCAGCCCTCTCCACCCATCTCCACCCCTCTCCACGCCTGACCCCTGTCCGATGTCTCCATATAGGCGGCACCCACCCCTCTCCACCCCTCTCCACCCCTCTCCACCCCTCTCCACACCTCTCCGCCCCTCTCCACACCTCTCCACCCCTCTCCACCCCTCTCCACCCCTCTCCACACCTCTCCACTCCTCTCCACCCCTCTCCACCCCTCTGCACCCCTCTCCACCCCTCTCCACACCTCTCCACCCCTCTCCACCCCTCTCCACCCCTCTCCACCCCTCTCCACACCTCTCCACCCCTCTCCACACCTCTCCACCCCTCTCCACACCTCTCCACCCCTCTCTACACCTCTCCACCCCTCTCCACCCCTCTCCACCCCTCTCCAACCCTCTCTACACCTCTCCACCCCTCTCCACCCCTCTCCACCCCTCTCCACCCCTCTCCACCCCTCTCCACCCCTCTCCACCCCTCTCCACACCTAACATCAGACGGATTCCTCCATCTAGGCGGCTCGCCTTGGTCTAGAACACGCGACCATTGAACCTCATCTAAGAACTCTTGTACCCTGACCGGTGACTTTTCAGGGCGACTTACTTTTAGGAAAATTTCAGATTTGAAAGAATATTTCAGCTTCAAATACTCATTAAACTTATCATTACTGATACTCTAATATTATTTACCAGGTTCTGATGAAAAATCTGACGCATGCGCATGTTGAAAAAATAATAGCAGATCTATATATGGCGGATTGTACTATCAACCTAATTCTGCCCAAGTTTGAGGTAAGAATAGCCAGAAATAAATGACGGTACATTATAATAATCTTAAGATAATGATAGGACAATATAAGACATCCTTAAAGTTAATGGAATAGAATATATTGTAATAAGTGTGGTGAATTCGAAATATAAACTCCAAACATCTTTCTTGATAACTAAGGAAGTTTTTATAATTCAATTATCACTTAAATGGGTGGTTAAAGAAAATAACATTTTACGTTTTGGGCGTATCCTTAATTTTTTCTCCCCAAGAGTTGAATGTCTACATTGTAGACAATGCCATTAGTTGCTTCCCCTTGCTTATTTTCTTGGCCTGCTTTTGATGTCTCCTAGGACCGATAACTCGTACAAGAAACTCTTCTCTAAAGGTCAAAGATGAAAACCGCGTTACACGGCTGCTAATAGAAAACTAAAATACGTATAAAACTTGTATTGCAACAGGTTTTTATACATGCACTAAAATACGAAAACAAAAACCGAACCTGTAATAGCAAATGTATTAGACACAGAAATGTGGTCACACGATTTCATAAGTCACGGACATTGTCATGGTCAGCATTAGATTCTGCAATTCTACCATGAACTTAAACTCGTTGACTATGACAGTGTGTGATGTGGTTAGTTTTCAACGTGTAATATTTCTACCGTGTAGCTTTCCTAACGTATAAATTTTCTAACGTTTAACTTTTCTAACATGTAAATTTTCCAACGTGTAAATTTTCTAACGTGTAAATTTTCTAATCTGTAACTTTTCTAACATGTACATTTTCCAACGTGTAAATTTTCCAACGTGTAAATTTTCTAAAGTGTAACTTTTCTGATGTGTAACTTTTCTAACGTGTAACTTTTCTAGCGTGTAACTTTTCTAATGTGTAACTTTTCTAACATGTAAATTTTCCAACGTGTAAATTTTCCAACGTGTACATTTTCTAAAGTGTAACTTTTCCACATGTAACTTTTCTAGCGTGTAACTTTTCTAACGTGTAACTTTTCCAATGTGTAACTTTTCTAACGTGTAAATTTTCCAACGTGTAAATTTTCTAACGTGTAAATTTTCTAAAGTGTAACTTTTCTAATGTGTAACTTTTCTAACGTGTAAATTTTCTAACGTGTAACTTTTCCAATATGTAAATTTTGTACCGTGTAACTTTTCCAACGTGTAAATTTTCCAACGTGTAAATTTTCCAACGTGTAACTATTCCACCGTGCACCTCCCCTAAGGTAAACGACACACACCTGCAATGGCATGTACATCGAGTACAAACAAATCAATCATCGTGCGTAAGTTCTATTCATGGCCCCTGTGTCATACATTCATTGACGGCGGTAACCGACATAGATTGTAGGGGGGTCTATCTAACTCAGGGGTTCTTAAGCTTTTTGAAGGTACCGAACCTCACCAGTTTTATATGCGAATTCACTGAACCTTTTTAAATAGTTTTATCATCCGCACTGACGAAATCCGAACTTGAATCATATGAGTCGGGTGTGTGTCTTGACCTCCGCCGTTCTCATGAGATTGACTCGTCCAACACCCGAGGTCCGATCGAACCCAGTTTAAGAACCACTGATCTAACATATAAAGGTACTTTTAACTGCACAGGCAGTGCACATCGGTGCAATTGTTTGGTAGTATTTGAACCAGAGTTTCTTTCATGCATCTATGCGGGTTTTACCCACCCCCCATCCCTTTTCCCCCCACAGTACGCCCCCCTCCCCCGTACAAAGTAGAAAAAATATATAATTGATATAGGAACTACTTACGTTAACTAGGGCACGCTGCGGCAAGTTTCAAGTACCCCCCCCCCCCCCAAACACCCTTCCGAAAAAAATATCTGAAAGAAACCCTGATCTCAATCCTGACGTAAGTTAAATGCTGGCCATAATCCTGATTGATGCACAGAGCGTAACGTTAAAAAAATATAACCCAAACTGTAATCAACATGTGGACAAGGAAGTGCTGATCTATTTATAAACTACAACATATCGACATACCAAGCACGTAACTAATTCAGAGGCGGAGCTAGGGGCGGGCAGGTGGGGAAGCCGACCTAGGTGCCGACCCTGTGGGTGTGTGGGGGGGGGGGGGGCGCCAAAAGGGGTAGAAAAAAAATTAAAATCTTATTAAACTGCATGAATGCACTATAGTCTACAAAATATACTATTGTTAAGGGGCAGTGACTAACTAAATTAAAATAGAGGGGGGGGGGGGGCGGCGGCGGCCACCGGTATGTGTCGCTACGCCTCTGATCTAATGCAGACGTATCTGTCCACTCAGGCTGTGTATTAGGGCTATCACATCTACTAGAGCCATTTGTTACCCTCATGAGTCACGAGACCTGCTATACCATGTCCCGATAGGTCAACAACCCCCCCCCCCCCTCCGTGCTTACCTTTCCCCCTTATATCCCGTGTCGTCTATAAACTAGGGCTAGTTCAGCTCAAGGGACGTAACTGAAACAATTTCTGTATTCACTACAAATCTACCAGGTTGATGAGACATGCACTGGCGGCTTCCGCAAGATGTAGTTAATGTTTGTGGTTCTCAGGGTGGGGAAACCCCTCCCCGTGGGGTGGGCGGGTTGTAGTGGCGATGATGGTAGTGGGGTGGGGGAGTGCATTCATTAAAAAATGTGGTGTTTTTTCTATCAATTTGATCGGGTTTAGTTATAGGCTAATGAACATAATCGAATCGTGTTTCATAATCATTTCTTTTTAATATATTCTGAAATTTTAAAATATAATCCTAACATTTTAATTATAATCCTAACATTTTTATATATTCCGAACTTTTATTTATATAATCCTAACTTTTTAAATGTTATGCAAACTTTTAAAAATACCTGTATAATCCTAACTTTAAAAATATAATTATAACTTTAAAAATATAATCCTAATTTTTTTTATATATAATACGAACTTTTATTTATATGATCTTAAGTTTTTAAGTAAAATCCTAACAATTTTTATATAATCCTAGTTTTTTTTTAAAATTCGCACACTCACATTTAAATTGTTTAATAAAAAACAAAACCAATCGACGTCTGTAACGAATCAATAAATAAACGACTTCTATATTTATTCCACCTAGCTCAAATCATCCCTGCAGCTAAATGCCGTCATGGACGACCTTGGCCTTTCTGACCTCTACAACCCGCAGACAGTTGACCTGAGCGGGATGTCCAGCAGAGGGTTGTGTCTGGCCGGGGTTGACCACGCCTCTGTCATCAAGCTGGACGAGGAGGGCTCCCCTCCTGTCGTCACCCCAGCCAACCAGAGCCGGACAAAAACCGGAAAATCCGTGAAATCCGTGAAAGCCGGAAGCAGCAATATATTAAAAGTCCGGGTTGACCACCCGTTCATGTTTGTTGTGGTTGACAGACGAGTCAAGAGTTATCTGTCCATGGGGTTTTTAACCAACCCGACCTTGTAGCTAAAGTTCTTGGGGTCAAGGTCAGGGGTCATCAGGCGACCCCCACCCCCTCCCACTTATAAAACTTAAACTACCACTAGTACCAGCTGGTAAATTTTAAAATGTAATATTTAATTTAAAAAGTAGGGACCATCATACACAATTATTGCTATAGAGTGGGATAGAGTGACTTCCACTTGTGAAAAATTGTGACAGAATGACTGCCCCTTGTGAAAAAAAATTGTGACAGAATGACTGCCCCTTGTGAAAAAAATTGTGACAGAATGACTGCCCCTTGAGAAAAAAAAATGTGACAGAGTGACTTGTAAGAACTTTGGACTTTGGTACTACGATGAGGTACCACCGCTGGTTTAACATCAACTACAACTTAACCAACTGTTGAAGACTAAAATAAAAACTAAGACTGCTGCTTAGTAAAACTTAGGTCTGGCATCTACACCAGTTGAGTTGTAGCAACACCAACATGTTTAATTAATGCTAAGAACGACTCCACTGCCGTATATATTGCAATAAATGTACTTCGTTTTTGTATGTCAGCACATTTATACATGTACATCATTGTTGTATGTCAGCACATTTATAAATGTACATCATTGTTGTATGTCAGCACACTTATTCCTAAGTTGTTCTGGATGAACGTACTTTCATAAATGTCAATCTGTTAATTATATTATATCATTATTACTACACTTATTATAATTTGCCCGTTGTCGCCAACAATTTTATTCAACAAATTAATGTATGTTTACATTATATAAAATGTCAACAAATGTTGGTTTACATTATATCAAGTGTCAAATTTACATGTATCGAAGTGCCAGATTAATCCATTAATAAAAGTGAAATGTGTTGTTTACAGACCTAGTTTGTTGTATATCCGCACAAATCCCAACCCACACAAATCCCAACCCACACAAATCCCAACCCACCGAATTCCAACCCACACTAATCAAAACCCACACAAATTCCAACCCACACAAACCCCAACCCAAACTAATCAAAACCAACAAAAATCTCAACACACACAAATCCCAACACACACAAATCCCAACCCACACAAATCCCAACCCACACAAACCCCAACCCACACAAATCCCAACCCACCAAATTCCAACCCACACTAATCAAAACCCACACAAATTCCAACCCACACAAACCCCAACCCAAACTAATCAAAACCCACAAAAATCTCAACATACACAAATCCCAACACACACATTCCGAGAACGAGTTAAGAAAAAAAATGCAGAGATCATAATCAAAGAAATAAATGATTCAATGTTTTAAAATAAAATTTCTAGATGGCACTTGGAGTTTTCCTTAGCAAGCTTAAGGAGGGTCGTACAGAAATGACGTCACACTCTCCAAAAGGAAGTTTGGGGGAGGGGGGGGGAATTAATTGTGATGTGATATGTCATTAGGGGATGGTAGAGAAAGTGGGACGTCGCACTTTAAAATTAAAAAAAAAAGTAATTTTAAAATCTGGATTTTTTAAATATTTAGCATTTTAACGTATTTTAAAAGTAAATTGCAATTTGTTTCGGAGCATAATTATTATTTTAGAAATAAATTCATGAAATTTGATACCGTTCGATGTGTCGCATTTGAACCGTCTGAACATCTGTTTTACATGCCACTCTTGCTCCAGGCCTTCACACCCACTCGACGTTAGGTTTCCACAAATTACAGCAGCCCACCCGGCCATCAGATGGGGCAGCCTGCTGATACAAGGAGCTTCAAACTACAGGAAGTAGTAAAAGAAATATAGGAAATCATAACAGAAACAAATATTTGAAACATATAAATGCAAATAACATTTGTAGTAAATATCTGCAATAAATATATCTAACAGACAGGTTCTGAAATAAATACACGAAATACATGGATCTATATAAAGTCAATACAATAAAAACAAATAAACAAACCTAATAAAAAAATACACAGAAACACTTATGTAAAACAAGCATCAGTAACAACTTGCAACGGTTCATTCCTACACGCATTACCCCCTACACTCAAACCTCAGTACACGCAAACCTAAATACACGCAAACCTAAATACACGCAAACCTAAATACACGCAAACCTAAATACACGCAAACCTCCCTAAACGCTAACCTCCCTACACGCACCACCACCACCCCCGATACGCAAACCTCCCCACTTCTACAAAAAAAAATTACTTATGTTCTATAGAAAAAACTTGGCTATTTCAAAATACACGAAATTTCGCATCAGGAAATGACATTTTGTACAACTTAGTCATCGTTAGCCAATGAATCCTTAGCTTCTACCTCATTAAATCTCAAGTCTCACTATCAACATTTCCCAAAGTTGTCGCTCTTGTTAATTTTACCACTCGAATTTTAAGATATCCTTGTGTAAAAACCCACCTAAAACAGCGTCAAGTTCTGTCAAAAGTAACATCAGCACACAACGGCAGTGTTACCTTCTAAAATAAGCTCTATGAGATCATTTGAAGCACACATTTACATACGCAAATACACGAAGCAAGTGCGCCCCTACTACCGTGTTCGGCATTCGCTATCAAACCCTCAATCTCTTTGTCCATTCCTACCTACTCTAGCCTTGAGATGGCTGGACATTTTTTAAAATTCGGCAACGCTCTTTCTCAGAAAAAAAATCCTTCTTTTTATTTCTTCTGTCAAATTATATACTAAGCAAATATTGAAGAGATTCCCGACACGAAACAAACCGCACACATCCTGTGAGAGACAACTTAAAACAGGCCCTATCAAAGGTTCGGATCTACTAGGTGGCTCGCTGGCCGAGAGTTAGGGCACATTCTTGGATGATCAGTTAGCGTTAGGCTTAGCTTGTCAACATAGAGGACGTTGTTGCTAGCGGTGACGTTAGGAAACTTTTACAGCTGGTTGTGATTTTTAACGTCGACATTATTTCATGTAAGTTTTTGGTTCTTAAAGATAACACAGAAACGGATATTAGTTTTAATTTCTTTCAATGGATAATCTTGTTATTTTTTTTTCAAAGACAGCTAATGTTGTGTACAGATAATTTTAATTTATCGACATGTTTACATTTGTTACCCATTATTGGATTACTTCTCTGTGACCGAGCTTTTGAACTTGTCTCATTATAAGACATATCGTTATACTGGTGTTCGCTTTTGCGATGTTATATTAACTGTTTTAGTTTACAGATATCAATAATCTTTCAGTAACATAGGGCGATAGGGTAGGGGGGGGGGAGTAAAAAATATACAAAGTTAAACAACGACTTGTATTAGGACTTTTATTTTGCGTGTTATTCCCATGTTCTCATCTCTGTCGTATAACGAGGCATGAACGTATAGAGAATTTGTTCCAACAAATTTTAAGTGTCCTATTCATAAAATAGTTTTATTCCTCCCTAAATTCAAAACTGAACTCAACATTTGTCTAGAAGAACAAAGATCACAATTGAGATTGTCAACACAGAAAAGAAAAATGTTTGTCGTGAACTTCTTGAACGTTCGGACATCACCTGCTGTCCTTGTCGCACTGTGTGTCCTGCTCAACGTTGACGTCACTAGCACACAATCACTGACCTACGGTAAGTTCGTGTTTCATTCACATTTCATCTATTTTCTGTGTCTACATTTTCTGTCAACATACTGGGTCTGCAGTTAGTGTCAACATTCTATGTCAATATTATGAGTCTACATTTTCTCTCTACATTCTGTGTACATGCTATGTCTACATTCTCTGTAAACATTGTGTCTGAATTTTGGGCCGATTCTAGCTGGAAAAAGATACGCATGCGCAATAGAGAGAAACTATCGCCTTCATTCGCGGCGATGTTTTCAATGGTACTGTGCATGCGTGTGTTTACAAACAAACATCAGAACCCTAACCCTATCCCTAACCCTAACCCTAACACTAGCCCTAAACCTAACCCTAGCGCAGCTATTAAGGTTACTACGCATGCGCAGAACTATTGCGTTTCGTAATTTCTGCCGAAAAATCTTTTTCCAAGTAGTCACTTCAATTAAAAACAATCTCTTAAAAAGCTTTATTTACTTTCTGTGATTCATTTTTATTTAAAAAAACCTGCATGAATGTGACGCCACTAGACTTGAATATAAACACTGACAAGTTGCCACTAGACTTTAAACACTGACAAGTTGCCACTAGACTCTAATGTAAACACTGACAAGTTGCCACTAGACTCTAATGTAATCACTGAAGCCACTAGACTCTAATGTAAACACTGAGGCCACTAGACTCTAATGTAAACACTGAAGCCACTAGACTCTAATGTAAACACTGACGCCACTAGACTCTAATGTAAACACTGACAAGTTGCCACTAGACTCTAATGTAAACACTGACGCCACTAGACTCTAATGTAAACACTGATGAGGTGCCACTAGACTCTAATGTAAACACTGACGCCACTAGACTCTAATGTAAACACTGACGCCACTAGACTCTAATGTAAACACTGACGCCACTAGACTCTAATGCAAACACTGAGGCCACTAGACTCTAATGTAAACACTGACTCCACTAGACTCTAATGTAAACACTGACTCCACTAGACTCTAATGTAAACACTGACGCCACTAGACTCTAATGTAAACACTGACGCCACTAGACTCTAATGTAAACACTGAAGCCACTAGACTCTAATGTAAACACTGACGCCACTAGACTCTAATGTAAACACTGATGAGGTGCCACTAGACTCTAATGTAAACACTGACGCCACTAGACTCTAATGTAAACACTGACGCCACTAGACTCTAATGTAAACACTGACGCCACTAGACTCTAATGTAAACACTGACTCCACTAGACTCTAATGTAAACACTGAGGCCACTAGACTCTAATGTAAACACTGACGCCACTAGACTCTAATGTAAACACTGACGCCACTAGACTCTAATGTAAACACTGAAGCCACTAGACTCTAATGTAAACACTGACGCCACTAGACTCTAATGTAAACACTGACGCCACTAGACTAAATGTAAACACTGACGCCACTAGACTCTGATGTCAACACTGACGCCACTAGACTCTAATGTAAACACTGACTCCACTAGACTCTAATGTAAACACTGACGCCACTAGACTCTAATGTAAACACTGACTCCACTGACTCTAATGCAAACACTGACTCCACCAGCTCGCTGTACAGACAACTGTCTAGCTGTGTACAAATACTACTCACGATTTGCTGCTGACCAGTCTCTCATGGACAAGTACATCAACAGCTGCAGGCAGAAATGTCAAGGTCACACGATGCTTTAATTAACAGGCTACTTAATTTTGTAAAACTAAAATTTTGTTTGGTCAACATATTTCAGTTAGCCTTGATTTAAAAAAACAACTTTTAACTAACTTAAAAAATGGAGCCAGCAAATAAAATTGTCAATTAATAATTACCTGAACACACAACTTCATAAAATTGTTCTAGTTTAGTCGATGTTAGTGCTTTAAGAACTGATCTCACATTTTTGTTATGGAAGACAAAGAGATCAATTTCGTTAATTTTTAAACTGTTTTGTTGTTTGTTCTAGACGACTTCAACATACCACCGGCTACAGCTGCCACAGCTTCCTCTACAGCGACCACGACAACAAGACCACCAACCACTTCTACAACAACTACAACAACCACAAAGCCAACAACTACCACAACGCCAACTACAACAACAACATCTACGACAACAACAAAACCAACAACAACTACCACAACGCCAACGCCAACAACTACAACAACATCTACGACAACCACAAAACCAACACCAACATCAACAACAACAACAACAACAACCACAACAACTACAAAGCCGTCAGCAACCACATCCACAACAGCTAAAAAAACTCCCACAACAACTATTCAAAGAAACTCCACAACTTCATTGCCACCAAATTCGTATGGTAAGTCAAGCAAGCGCAAGAGCATATAAATTATATCATTATATCCTCTACCTTACAACATCAAATCACAATTTCTTACATTTGTAGTTTGACACTTAAACAAACAACAACATTGATAACTAAAAATAGAAACTGTACACGTGTGACCTTGTTCCAGAATCCTGTGGACGCTACAGTCCGTCCATTGACCGGATCGTCAACGGTCAGGACGCGGGGGAGTGCGAGTTCCCCTGGGTGGTGCAGGTCAACAACGACTGTGGGGGCTCAATACTGGACACTCGACACGTGCTGACGGCTGCTCACTGTGTCCTTGACACGTACGTAAATCTTACCAATCATGTGCTCACCGAGGTTTAACCAACCAATGCATGTAGAGACCTGTGGTTTTTATCCTTAGTGTGGTCAGCTTTGCTTACGCCACTCCAATAAATTTTAAATTAATTTTAAATTAGTATACAATTAATTCACAAGTTAATTCAGAAGAAAATAGACTATCGACAGAGTTAAAGAAAATGTAAAAAAAAAAAAACAACAACAAAAAACAACAAACAACAAAATTCGCTTCTTTTTCCAATCAAAATTTAAAGTGTCTTTTTATAAGATGGATGTTTCAACAAAAACCCACGTCCGGTGTATGTTTAGATTTTGTAAGTTTTTCAATTAATTAATTTGTTTCACCCTGTTATTAATTATTAATAAATTATTAAATTATATCAACTGATATACGTCTACCTAACGTCTACCTAATGTCCGGCATGACCGGCTACTGACCTCTACCATTGGACTACCTAATGTCCGGCATGACCGGCTACTGACCTCTACCATTGGACTACCTAATGTCCGGCATGACCGGCTACTGACCTCTACCATTGGACTATCTAACAGGAGCACGAACCAGGTCAAGCCAGGCGCCATGTTTGTCAGTGTCGGCTCCTCCAACCGTTTGTACCAGACCAGCCACCAAGTTCTGCACGTGCACACTGACCCTCGCTACGTATCCAGCACTAAAGGTGAGCTCAGCATACACAGACAGACAAACATTTTATAAACGCACGACCACACCAGTCATCGTATTTATCGTAGATTACTTAACGAAATCGTCAAGCTGCCGATGTACATATAGTAAACAGTTCCCTACACCCAACCCTCACTACGCCCCTACACCCAACCCTCACTACACCCTTACACCCAACCCTCACTACGCCCCTACACCCAACCCTCACTACGCCCCTACACCCAACCCTCACTACGCCCCTACACCCAACCCCCACTACGCCCCTACACCCAACCCTCACTACGACCCTACACCCAACCCTCACTACGCCCCTACACCCAACCCTCACTAAGCCCCTACACCCAACCCTCAATACACCCCTACACCCAACCCTCACTAAGCCATTACACCTTCACTACGCCCCTACACCCAACACTCACTAGGTCCCTACAACAAACCGTCACTACGCCCCTACAATCCTACTCACAACGTCCCTACACCGAACCCTCACACCCCCCCCCGTCCAACAACCCATCTTCACCACACGCCTACACCCAACCCTCACTACACCCCTACACCCAACCCTCACAACCCCCCCCCCCACAACCCCCACTACACCTAACATCTACCACACCCAACCCACCCACCTACATCACACCCAACCCACCCCCCTATATCACACACAACCCACATCTACCACACCCAACCCCCCCCCCCCCACCCCACCCCCCCACATCCCGAACTAAAACCTGACCATTTCCTCCCCAGACTTTGACGTGGCCGTGTTGACCCTAGCCGAGGCCTTGACCTTCTCTGACTGTGTGGCACCCATTTGTCTGCCTGCAGCCAACGATGACCCGTGGTCAGCCGAGTTTTGTCTGGCTGCTGGTTGGGGGGTCATGGCCGGTGAGTCCTTCAATCACACGTTAGACAGTTCATACAGATAGGTACAAACATAATGCAATCAATAGACAGGTTCAAACCTAATGCCATTAACAGACAGGTTCAAACACAACAAAAAACAACAAACTCAATGCCGTCAACAGACAAGTAACAACATAATACAATCAACAGACCCTCACACCACTACAATCAACTTAACACCTAAACACAACAAACTATCAACACAAACAACGACATTCACTACAGACACATCTTTCATAAACCCACCCAAGCCCAACACATAAACAACGACACCAACAAGAGCAGACGATAGCAATAAACCAGTCAATGTTTAAAACATTTTCCTTGCCAGATACGTCATTCATCCGTCCCAACATCCTGCAGAAGGTCCAACTTCCGCTGGTCAGCCAGACGGACTGCGCACTGAGGTATTTTGGGAGAAACGTTGCCATCAATGATCAGAAGTTATGTACTGGCGACATCTACAAGGGCGGCATCGATACTTGTGGGGTAAGTAGAACAAGATACTACGATACGTGAAATCGATACTTGGTAATCTACTAAGAAGAAATCGGTACTTTATAGGTGCATTCTGAAGAATTTCGGGGTACGCTGTGATAAATGTACGCTTTTAGAACTACCACAGGAGAGATGAAGTAGAGTACATGTATTTAACCTCAGGACTCAATAGAATTTTGTGGTCAGTGTTGCGTTTCGCTGCCTTACGATTTCGACGTGGGAAGTACTTATGACGCCTGTAAACCGTATTGGAATCTTTTAGATTAGCAACCGGCTAGTTAAAGGGGACGGAGTGGTCTGGCGGTAGAGAGCTGGACTGCTAACCCGTAAATCTCGAGTTCGAATCCGGGTTCAAGTCAGTAGACCGTCCCAAAGTCTGATGGGTACCTAACTCACGTTAAGGAAAGTTAAGGCGGCTGGGCATAGTGCTGACCACACTATCTCTTCATATGCCGAGGCCACAGAAACAAGTGAATTCTACTTCACTTGCCCTATAGACCGTTAGTTTTGAAAGGGAAACTTTACTTACTTTTACCAGCCAGTTAAACTGTTAACCATTTGATTATTCTTTTCGTTAATGGCATTTGTGTGTTATTTAGTGTGCTCTATGTGACTCATACTGTTTATGTGACGCATACTATTTTGTGACCCATGCTGTCCATATGACCCTTACTGCCCATGTTACCAATACTGTACACATGACCCATGCTGTCCATATGACCCTTACTGCCCATGTTACCAATACTGTCCACATGACCCATGCTGTCCATATGACCCTTACTGCCCATGTTACCAATACTGTCCACATGACCCATGCTGTCCATATGACCCTTACTGCCCATGTTACCCATACTGTCCACATGACCCATGCTGTCCATATGACCCTTACTGTCCATGTTACCAATACTGTCCACATGACCCATGCTGTCCATATGACCCTTACTGCCCATGTTACCAATACTGTCCACATGACCCATGCTGTCCATATGACCCTTACTGCCCATGTTACCAATACTGTCCACATGACCCATGCTGTCCATATGACCCTTACTGCCCATGTTACCAATACTGTCCACATGACCCATGCTGTCCATATGACCCTTACTGCCCATGTTACCAATACTGTCCACATGACCCATGCTGTCCATATGACCCTTACTGCCCATGTTACCCATACTGTCCACATGACCCATACTGTCCATATGACCCATACTGTCCACATGACCCATACTGTCCATATGACCCATACTGTCCACATGACCCATACTGTCCATATGACCCATACTGTCCATATGACCCATAATGTCTATGTATCACCAATGACGTATCTCTACCCCAGGGTGACTCGGGTGGACCCATCATGTGCGTCACCAACGACCGTTACGTTCTCTACGGCTCCGTCTCTGCTGGCATCGGATGTGCCCTCAGACAGTACCCCGGCGTCAACATCAAGATCAGCAACCCTTTGATCCTGGCATTCATTCACTCATCTTTACACGACGTCTGACGTCACGATACAGGATGACGTCACAAACAAAAGCAAAACGAAAGTCTCGAATTTGTAGTTGGTTGGACGATGTTTTGATTTGTAAAATAAAAGGAACGTTATGATTGGTTGGTGTAGTTGTTGTCTTCACTTACATAGGAAACCAATGTTCTAGAATGTTCAGTGATCTTCACTTTACTATTTATACTGTCACTGTGCAAGCAGGCTTGCATGCCGCTAAATAAATTTATTGTGATATTTTATGAATATTTTTGAGTTTTTATTTATCGCTCACAAACATGTGCATAAGGAAAAAACATCGGTGTGAATTGATAACTTCTTTTTTTGGGAACTTTTAAGATTGTCCAATTTAATCATGTTGAACTTGGTTAATTGAATCCCGAATCATAAACCCTCGCCACTTTTGTAACAAACACAAATATTACAAGGTAAATGTAAATATATCACAAGGGTAGACCAACAAAAAATATATCACACGGTTAAACCAACACATATATCACACGGTTAACCCAACACATATATATCACACGGTTAACCCAACACATATATATCACACGGTTAAACCAACAAATATAGATCACACGGTTAAACCAACACATATATATCACACGGTTAAACCAACACAAATATATCACACGGTTAAACCAACACATATATATCACACGGTTAAACCAACACATATATATCACACGGTTAAACCAACACAAATATATCACACGGTTAAACCAACACATATATATCACACGGTTAAACCAACACATATATATCACACGGTTAAACCAACACATATATATCACACGGTTAAACCAACACATATATATCACAAGATAAACCAAAATAGATCACAAAGTTACACCAGCTCTGCGGCCCCATGTAATCAGCATTAGATCATTCTCCCCTAACTCAAGCTAAAGAATTTAATAACTTCTTGCAAGATGGAATTAAAATCACGATTGTTAAATCAGTAAGTTAAAGAAAAAATTCAACCTCTTAATGTTGTCTCTATCTGATCGACACTAACAAAAACAGTTTACGTGCTCTAAACTCTAGATGAACATTAAATCAAATAAAGCGGGAGTGCTCTCCCCTAAAGTTTCTGGTATATTCTTATCATAAAGCAAATAAAGCGAAAAACTTCTTCCGGTTAACGGAAATGGCTCAGAAATCGATAAATAAAACCACATAGACGCAAAACGTTCTTTAAAAATGTTTCTTTATTAAAGTTTTAAAACTTTTGTTTTATTAATTATTCAATACTTACATTTTGGAAATAAAATAGTATAGTATCGCGTTGCAAAAACAATTGCGCACCAAATGAACGCAAACGGCGTGTGTAAAATAGAAGGGAAAAGTACTACTTTGTAGGAAATACAGATACATTTTTTTAATGCATTGACTTCAAGTCTTGACCTATGTGAAAAGTTTGAAAAGAAATCGGTTCAGTACACGTGATTGAAATTTTGCTCGCAAGTTTCCGCCCATGATGGGCGATATACAGAGGAATCAAGTTAAATAAATTATTATAGTTTTTTTGAGATCACTCAAAATTTCACAGAATTCATTGAATAAAATCTTACACCTATATATGAAATCTCGTCTACCTAACCGAAAAGGTTATCAACTTATTGTAGAAATCAGAAAAAGATTTTGAATGTACTCCCAGAAAAAGAAAGATCTTATACTTAGATATGAAATTTCGTCTACCTAAATGAAACAGACCTCCACGTTATTAAACGGTACTTATGTTATCAGCTTTTGAGAAACCTGAAATAGAGTAAGTATCTATTCCGGTTACCGGAAAAAGCTCCAAAGTTGAAAGAAAATTATTAATGTAATAACATAGCAAACTTTACTCAAGAAATTGATAAATTCGCAAAAAACAATTTTTTTCAACTCGGGACAGGTAAAGCGTCGAGATTTTTCGTTAATATTGATTTAGATTTTGTGCACGATTACAATATGTCCTTTATACTCCGTATATGATAAAGTAGGGAGGTGTACAACTAAAAAAATTGTCATAATTTCAATTGATTTTTGTGCACAATTACAACACTTCCTTTATACTCTGTATAAGAGAAAGTAAAAATGAAAAAAAAAATCACCACTACCAATACTGTAACAATACTACAAATACTATCATAACACTACCAATACTGTCACACTACTACAAATACTATCATAACACTACCAATACTGTCACAATACTACAAATACTAACATAACACTACCAATACTGTCACAATACTACAAATACTATCATAACACTACCAATACTGTCTTAACACGGCCAATAATGGCACAGTTTCTTGATAGAATTTTCAAGTTAAAAATTTTAAAGTAACAATATATTTAAATTAAATAATTCTGAACATTATTTTATATTTAAAGGCTATTTAGTTCATACTCTATTTATAACATTTGATTAAAGACAAAAAAATTCAAACCTTAAGTCTTAAGACAACACTATAATAATATGAAGTCAAATAGACAGCGCACCTCACCAGTATGAAATCAAATAGACAGCATACCTCACCAGTATACAATTAAATAGCATACCTCACCAGTATATAATTAAATAGCATACCTCACCAGTATGAAGTCAAATAGACAGCATACCTCACTATTATGAAATCAAATAGACAACATACCTCACCAGTATGAAATCAAATAGACAGCATACCTCACCCGTAAAAAAACCCAGCATAACTTCCTGTACGAACAAACCCTTCTCCGAAAATTAAAATACTTTCTGAATTTCCATCCTTTTTATGACCCAACTAAAAGAAATACGAGAACAAACCCCTTATGAATGGTATTTACTTTACTGCTACATTGAGGTATTTCGTTTACAATACACTTTTTTTGCTATGAAGTCTACATAGTCATTGAACAACTAATCCTTTTTTTTGTGTCATTCTTCTCTCCATGTCCTGTCGCAATCTTTCGATAAGGAACAAGGATGAACCTGTCGAAACCGTCTTTTGTGACCATCTATCAAGACGATCTTGTCTTTGATCTAGATCTCAAAAGATCTTGTTGACACAAGTTACCCAGAATCCTGCTGCTGGGTCCTGTGAAGATGTTCACACTACCTGGATGACGCTGGCGTCACCAATAAAACAGGCCAGACCATGAGCTGAACAAACAGCGCGGATATTTGCCCAGAAAATTTAGAATTAAACATCCCGAGTTTGATACACTGCGCTTGTATGTCTTACAGCGATGTACAATGTAGGCGACAGTTAGGGACCTTCTCTTTGGTGTGACATCTTCAAATCTTTCGCAACTCTTTAGCAGATCTCAGGAATATTTTTGTCTTATTTTCTAAGTTTGTAGGACATTTAAAGATAAGGCTTGTGTTTGACTACGCTTTTTAAAAAATTTCGGTGAGTTTAAATTGAAAACCAGTGGTTGTATTAATTTATGAAAAAAAAACACTTTCATATTATTTCATGAATCTAATTAAATTTATTTTTAATTTAATAATTTGATATTAAATCTAGTAGTGTAAGTAAAATTATTTTTGCAATGAACCTCTGTTATTTAGGAAGGTCCTATCGAAGAAGATGCCTCATCTCATGGACGTGACGTCACTGGTAGCTGCCATATTGCTACTCGCTACCCCATCACCTCTTGTGTTAGCTGATACAAGTAAGTTCTTGGTAGCAATTTTATTTTAATTTTGTTTTTGCGAACTAAGGAGCTTAAGTAGAACACTATGAACATTAACAGGCTCAGTATATGAGCTTACATAAACAGACGCACTATATGATCTTAAAGAGACGCACTATATAATCTTAAACAGATGCATTTTTTGAGCAACTGTAGAGCGACAAAGTGTTTACGGTGGCTTCTAAAGCTAAAACACATTTTCCCTGAATTTACTGTTAGTGAAAGCTTGTTTTAAAATTCTAAATGTCCAATTATTTATTTTATGTTATAAATCTTGAACGTTATTGTTAAAACTTAAAAACAAAAGAAAGAATCATTGTACATTTAAACGTTCAGTGTATGGGGTGGTCAAATAGTAGAGCGTACGACTAGTAACACGAATGTCTCGTGTTCGTATCCCGGGCACGTTTCCGCTGGACGTTCCTGAGTCCACCCAGCTCTGATGGGTACCTGAGTCCACCCAGCTCTAATGGGTACCTGAGTTACTTCAGGGAAAGTTAGAGCGGCAGGGCATAGTGCTGACCACACTAACCCATGAAATGCCGAGGTAACTAAATCAGGTGAACTCTACTTCATCTGTCATGGGGACTACCATATACGAAAGAGTATCTTTACTATCTCATGCATTTAATTAAGATATAGATCATTCGTTTAGAATTTATTATAAACGATGTAAATTTATGTGACACAATCTAGATAGCGTAATTTATATTTAAGAGAAAAAAAGTCGAATAATGAAATATTGTGTATGAATAGCTTTCACTTTAGTGATCAATGCACATGACCTTAGAAGGGGATTTAACATCTAGATATATAAATATAAACTTTAACACGTCCCAATGTTAACTTGTCCCAATTTTAACACGTCCCAATTCTAACACGACCCAACTTTAACTTGTCCCAATTTAAACTTTTCCCAATTTTAACTTGTCCTAATTCTAACACGTCCCAATTCTAACACGTCCCAATTTTAACACGTCCCAACTTTAACTTGTCCCAATTTAAACTTTTCCCAATTTTAACTTGTCCTAATTCTAACACGTCCCAATTCTAACACGTCCCAATTTTAACACGTCCCAACTTTAACTTGTCCCAATTTAAACTTTTCCCAATTTTAACTTGTCCTAATTCTAACACGTCCCAATTCTAACACGTCCCAATTTTAACACGTCCCAACTTTAACTTGTCCCAATTTTAACACGTCCCAATTTTAACTTGTTCCAATTTTAACACGTGCCAATTTAAACTTGTCCCAATTTTAACACGTCCCAACGTTCACACGTCCCAATTCTAACACGTCCCAAACGTCTCCAGGTCAGTGCCTACAGAACTGCCAGAGTATCTATAACTTCTACATACGTTTCCACCTGGCAGGCTTGGATAGCTTCATGAGCATGTGCTGGAGGAACTGTCTAGGTGAGTAGTCGACAGGTAGTTGTAGGGATCATATCGTAGAGCTTCTAAAGAAAGAACACACACACACACAAACACACACACACACAAACAAACACACACACATACATACATACATATATATATATATATATATATATATATATATATATATATATATATATATATATATATATATATATATATATATATATAAACTAGCTGTATCCCGTGCTCCGCCACGGTAAATCGTTTTTAAAAGTACCAACTTGGGAACAGAACAAAACTAAACACAACACAAACGAACGCAAAAAAAACAAAAAAAAAACGAAAAAACAAACACAACACTCATAACATAGACACAATTTTAATGCAATCATACAGGCATATTGCTCACAGTCTAGCCCATAGCGCCAAATCGCGACCTTTCCGGTGATTTGCACCCCCCTCAAACTTTAGATTTGCACCCCTTCCCCCCCCCCCCTCCCTAAAACTTTCGATTTCCACCACCCCCCCCCCTCGCACATTTTTTCCAACCCACTTTGGCGCCCCCTAAGGTCGGCACCCGGGGACATATGCCCCCCCCCCCCCTCGCTACGCCTCTCCTATAAAACCCGAAAGATAGAATAATAATTAGAAAACAGTATAAATAATAGTCAGTATTTAAAATATCCGTGTTTTACCTACAATATTTCACTTTATCCATTCACGCATTTTTTTCCAGTACTTTAAATTTTTAAAATTTACAATAGAGTTTCATAACTAAAACCATTGCGCACCTAATGAACGTGATGCCGCGTCTATAATAGTGCTGAATAGTTGATTAAAAATTATAAGTAATAAACAGTAGGGCCTACATTCAGTGAATAAAATAAATAAAAGATTGCCTTTTATCAATCCATGCTAATTATAATTTTCTAACAATAATTTCCTCTTAAACATCCGAATAATTTGCATTCACATTTTGCTAATTATATTATTGCAACACTAATTCCTTCTATGACGAACGTATATTTGCATTCACATTTTTTATTAGCGTGAGTTTAATGTATTTTTAAATTACCTCCTTTGTCAAAATTAGAAAAGAGTTAAATTAATTTGATTTTTTCTACCGTACTGTTATTATGTTATTAAAATGTATCCACTTTTTCTAGGAATATAAACGAAAATGATATTTGACATTGATCCTTTTAATATGTTTTAGCAATGTGCGTGTATTTAATATTTTCTTTAAGTTATGCAAAAGAGCAAACACAGTGGAAATTATAAAATAGCTCTATGCCGCTATATAAACAAACCCTACTCTAATACTTATAATAAGACACTGCGGTGCACTGAAAAGCACAGCATGGTGCGAATGTTTACTTTTATGGTTCCAAAAGCTATAGCGATGACAGAAGGAAGGAAGGAAGGACTGACACACGCTCAGCCCGCTTATATTATAGATTACTTACAATTTTTCCTTTACATCAGCCACAGCACCGACTGCAACAACCACCCCCACAACGACAACAACAAGAACCACAACAAGCACGTACCAGGGTGGTGAGTACTTTATTTTGACCTATCCATTAGCTGATCCATGCTGGTACATCATGCTGGTACATCATGCTGGTACATCATGCTGGTACATCATGCTGGTACATCATGCTGGTACATCATGCTGGTACATCATGCTGGTACATCATGCTGGAACATCATGCTGGTACATCATGCTGGTACATCATGCTGGTACATCATGCTGGTACATCATGCTGGTACATCATGCTGGTACATCATGCTGGTACATCATGCTGATCTATGCTAGTACGTAGATAGATTTCATGTAACAAAAATGACGATTTGGCGTTTTTAAAAATCTTTACACCGGCTAATATTTTCTTGTTACTGTAAGCAAACATTTTATGTGTATCTTCTCCCCCACCCCCAGTAGCCTGTGGCTTCTCAATGGTCGACAGGAACCGAATCGTCAACGGCGTAGATGCATCAGAGTGCCAGTTCCCCTGGGTGGTCCAGGTCAACAGCGGCTGCGCGGGGTCAATTCTGGACAAACGTCACGTGATCACTGCCTACCACTGCGTCATGAATGTGTAGGTCATTTTAAATGTCATGAATGTGTAGGTAATTTAAAATGCCATGAATATGTAGGTCATTTCATATGTCATGGTTGTGTAGGTCATTTCAAATGTTGTCATGCATGTGTAGGTCATTTCAAATGTCATGAATGTGTAGGTAATTTCAAATGTTGTAATGAATGTGTAGGTAATTTTAAATGTCATGATTGTGTAGGTCATTTCAAATGTTGTCATGATTGTGTAGGTCATTTTAAATGTTGTCATGAATGTGTAGGTAATTTCAAATGTTGTCATGAATGTGTAGGTAATTTCAAATGTTGTCATGAATGTGTAGGTCATTTTAAATGTTGTCATGTATGTGTAGGTCATTTCAAATGTGGTCATGGTTGTGTAGGTCATTTCAAATGTGGTCATGGTTGTGTAGGTAAACATACATTAAAAAAAAAATTGTTCACCTGGATGCTTTTTGACAGTGACACCAAGACGGTAGTGTCGTCACCTATCTACGTCAGTGTCGGCTCATCCTTTAAAGCCAGACAGACCAGGTACAGCGTCATACACGTTAATGCTGACCCCAGGTACAACTCTGGCACTAAAGGTAAGGGGAGGGGGGAGGAGTGGAGGGAGGCACTGGTTTTTTAGTATATTTTTCTATATTATTTTTTTTTGTTCGGAGATGCATGAAAGAAACTCTGGCACGGATTAATTGTTTCAGATCAATAATATTGGCATCGTTAAACAAACAATGTCTTCATTGAATAAAGGCGAATTTATAATGGCGGCCAACCATCTCAAATCTCGTGTTTTCCCCTCAGACTTTGACATAGCTGTGTTGACCTCGTGTTTTCCCCTCAGACTTTGACATAGCTGTGTTGACCTCGTGTTTTCCCCTCAGACTTTGACATAGCTGTGTTGACCTCGTGTTTTCCCCTCAGACTTTGACATAGCTGTGTTGACCTTTTCCCCTCAGACTTTGACATAGCTGTGTTGACCTTTTCCCCTCAGACTTTGACATAGCTGTGTTGACCTTTTCCCCTCAGACTTTGACATAGCTGTGTTGACCTTTTCCCCTCAGACTTTGACATAGCTGTGTTGACCTCGTGTTTTCCCCTCAGACTTTGACATAGCTGTGATGACCTCGTGTTTTCCCCTCAGACTTTGACATAGCTGTGATGACCTCGTGTTTTCCCCTCAGACTTTGACATAGCTGTGATGACCTCGTGTTTTCCCCTCAAACTTTGACATAGCTGTGTTGACCTTTTCCCCTCAGACTTTGACATAGCTGTGATGACCTCGTGTTTTCCCCTCAGACTTTGACATAGCTGTGATGACCTCGTGTTTTCCCCTCAGACTTTGACATAGCTGTGATGACCTCGTGTTTTCCCCTCAGACTTTGACATAGCTGTGATGACCTCGTGTTTTCCCCTCAGACTTTGACATAGCTGTGATGACCTCGTGTTTTCCCCTCAGACTTTGACATAGCTGTGATGACCTCGTGTTTTCCCCTCAGACTTTGACATAGCTGTGTTGACCTTTTCCCCTCAGACTTTGACATAGCTGTGTTGACCCTGGCACAAGACCTCGTCTTCTCGGACTGTGTGGCCCCGATCTGCCTGCCCGACCCGTACGACGACCCCTGGGCATCGGACTCCTGCTATGCTGCTGGGTGGGGTAGACTCAGTGGTAAGTTCTGTTTGTGGGTGGGGTAAACTCAGTGGTAAGTTCTGTTTGTGGGTGGGGTAAACTCAGTGGTAAGTTCTGTTTGTGGGTGGGGTAAACTCAGTGGTAAGTTCTGTTTGTGGGTGGGGTAAACTCAGTGGTAAGTTCTGTTTGTGGGTGGGGTAAACTTAGTGGTAAGTTCTGTTTGTGGGTGGGGTAAACTCAGTGGTAAGTTCTGTTTGTGGGTGGGGCAGTGGTAAGTTCTGTTTGTGGGTGGGGTAAACTCAGTGGTAAGTTCTGTTTGTGGGTGGGGTAAACTCAGTGGTAAGTTCTGTTTGTGGGTGGGGTAAACTCAGTGGTAAGTTCTGTTTGTGGGTGGGGCAGTGGTAAGTTTTGTCTGTGGGTGGGGTAAACTCAGTGGTAAGTTTGTGGGTGGGGTAAACTCAGTGGTAAGTTCTGTTTGTGGGTGGGGTAAACTCAGTGGTAAGTTCTGTTTGTGGGTGGGGTAAACTCAGTGGTAAGTTCTGTTTGTGGGTGGGGTAGTGGTAAGTTCTGTTTGTGGGTGGGGTAAACTCAGTGGTAAGTTCTGTTTGTGGGTGGGGTAGTGGTAAGTTCTGTTTGTGGGTGGGGTAAACTCAGTGGTAAGTTCTGTTTGTGGGTGGGGTAAACACAGTGGTAAGTTCTGTTTGTGGGTGGGGTAAACTCAGTGGTAAGTTCTGTTTGGGGGTGGGGTAAACTCAGTGGTAAGTTTGTGGGTGGGGTAAACTCAGTGGTAAGTTCTGTTTGTGGGTGGGGTAGTGGTAAGTTCTGTTTGTGGGTGGGGCAGTGGTAAGTTCTGTTTGTGGGTGGGGTAAACTCAGTGGTAAGTTCTGTTTGTGGGTGGGGTAAACTCAGTGGTAAGTTCTGTTTGTGGGTGGGGTAAACTCAGTGGTAAGTTCTGTTTGTGGATGGGGTAAACTCAGTGGTAAGTTCTGTTTGTGGGTGGGGTAGTGGTAAGTTTTGTCTGTGGGTGGGGTAAACTCAGTGGTAAGTTCTGTTTGTGGGTGGGGTAGTGGTAAGTTTTGTCTGTGGGTGGGGTAAACTCAGTGGTAAGTTCTGTTTGTGGGTGGGGTAAACTCAGTGGTAAGTTCTGTTTGTGGGTGGGGCAGTGGTAAGTTCTGTTTGTGGGTGGGGTAAACTCAGTGGTAAGTTCTGTTTGTGGGTGGGATAAACTCAGTGGTAAGTTCTGTTTGTGGGTGGGGCAGTGGTAAGTTTTGTCTGTGGGTGGGGTAAACTCAGTGGTAAGTTTGTGGGTGGGGTAAACTCAGTGGTAAGTTCTGTTTGTGGGTGGGGCAGTGGTAAGTTCTGTTTGTGGGTGGGGTAAACTCAGTGGTAAGTTCTGTTTGTGGGTGGGGCAGTGGTAAGTTCTGTTTGTGGGTGGGGTGGTGGTAAGTTCTGTTTGTGGGTGGGGTAAACTCAGTGGTAAGTTCTGTTTGTGGGTGGGGCAGTGGTAAGTTCTGTTTGTGGGTGGGGTAGTGGTAAGTTTTGTCTGTGGGTGGGGTAAACTCAGTGGTAAGTTTGTGGGTGGGGTAAACTCAGTGGTAAGTTTGTGGGTGGGGTAAACTCAGTGGTAAGTTTTGTCTATGGGTGGGGTAAACTCAGTGGTAAGTTTGTGGGTGGGGTAAACTCAGTGGTAAGTTCTGTTTGTGGGTGGGGTAAACTCAGTGGTAAGTTCTGTTTGGGGGTGGGGCAGTGGTAAGTTCTGTTTGTGGGTGGGGTAAACTCAGTGGTAAGTTTGTGGGTGGGGTAAACTCAGTGGTAAGTTCTGTTTGTGGGTGGGGTAAACTCAGTGGTAAGTTCTGTTTGTGGGTGGGGTAAACTCAGTGGTAAGTTCTGTTTGGGGTGGGGTAAACTCAGTGGTAAGTTCTGTTTGTGGGTGGGGTAAACTCAGTGGTAAGTTCTGTTTGTGGGTGGGGTAAACTCAGTGGTAAGTTCTGTTTGTGGGTGGGGTAAACTCAGTGGTAAGTTTGTGGGTGGGGTAAACTCAGTGGTAAGTTCTGTTTGTGGGTGGGGTAAACTCAGTGGTAAGTTCTGTTTGTGGGTGGGGTAAACTCAGTGGTAAGTTCTGTTTGTGGGTGGGGTAAACTCAGTGGTAAGTTCTGTTTGTGGGTGGGGTAAACTCAGTGGTAAGTTCTGTTTGTGGGTGGGGTAAACTCAGTGGTAAGTTCTGTTTGTGGGTGGGGTAAACTCAGTGGTAAGTTCTGTTTGTGGGTGGGGTAAACTCAGTGGTAAGTTCTGTTTGTGGGTGGGGTAAACTCAGTGGTAAGTTCTGTTTGTGGGTGGGGTAAACTCAGTGGTAAGTTTGTGGGTGGGGTAAACTCAGTGGTAAGTTCTGTTTGTGGGTGGGGTAAACTCAGTGGTAAGTTCTGTTTGTGGGTGGGGTAAACTCAGTGGTAAGTTCTGTTTGTGGGTGGGGTAAACTCAGTGGTAAGTTTGTGGGTGGGGTAAACTCAGTGGTAAGTTCTGTTTGTGGGTGGGGTAAACTCAGTGGTAAGTTCTGTTTGTGGGTGGGGCAGTGGTAAGTTCTGTTTGTGGGTGGGGTAAACTCAGTGGTAAGTTCTGTTTGTGGGTGGGGTAAACTCAGTGGTAAGTTCTGTTTGGGGGTGGGGTAAACTCAGTGGTAAGTTCTGTTTGTGGGTGGGGTAGTGGTAAGTTCTGTTTGTGGGTGGGGTAAAATTAGTGGTAAGTTCTGTTTGTGGGTGGGGTAAACTCAGTGGTAAGTTCTTTTTGTGGGTGGGGTGTGGGTAGGGTAAAATCAGTCGTAATTTCTGTTTGTGGGTGGGGTAAACTCAGTGGTAAGTTCTATTTGTGGGTAGGGTAAAATCAGTGGTAAGTTCTGTTTGTGGGTGGAGTAGTGGTAAGTTCTGTTGGGGGGTGGGGTAGTGGTCAGTTCTGTTGGGGGGTGGGGTAGTGGTAAGTTCTGTTTGTGGGTGGGGTAAACTCAGTGGTAAGTTCTGTTTGTGGGTGGGGTAGTGGTAAGTTCTGTTGGGGGGTGGGGTAGTGGTAAGTTCTGTTTGTGGGTGGGGTAGTGGTAAGTTCTGTTGGGGGGTGGGGTAAACTCAGTGGTAAGTTCTGTTTGTGGGTGAGACACAACGACACATACAGAAACTGACATAAACTTAACCTATTTAAAGTGTATTATAACATAATCGTTCGAGTAAAATGTCCATCGATTTTAACAATTTTGTTATAAAACTCTTCTATCCAATTAGTGTCAAATGTAAATCATGTTAAATGTCTTCTCTGATTAGAGTCAGCAATCTCCGGAACAGAGAACCTGCAGTACGTAAAGCTGCCATTGGTCAACCTAACCACCTGTATAACGGGCTATAGGTTCAGGACTGATTTTTATATCAACGACAAAAAGTTGTGTGCCGGGGACTACGAAAATGGCGGAATAGACTCCTGTAAGGTGGGTCAAATAGTCCTGACCCGTAGATCTAAGCAGGTCAAAATAGTCCTGACCCGTAGATCTAAGTAGGTCAAAATAGTCATTGCCCGTAGATATAGTTAGGTCAAATAGCCATGACCAGTACATATAAGTGGGTCAACTAGTCATGACCAGTTGATCCAAATAGGTCAAATGGTCCTACCCGTAGATCTAAGTCTACTTGTATTTGGGCTCGACGTTATAAATACGTTAAATATTTCATATATATATATATATATATATATATATATATATATATATATATATATGTATATATATATATATATATATATGTATATATATATATATATATATATATATATATATATATATATATATATATATATATATATGTATATATATGTATATATATATATATATATATATATATATATATATATATATATATATATATATATATATATATATGTATATATATATATATATATATATATATATATATATATATATATATATATATTTATATATATATATATATATATATATATATATATGTATATATATATATATATCATAGTGCATCATTGTGGTAGGCTAATCCCACTTGTTGGTTAAAGTAAAACGTGTCTGTATATGTTCTACACGTTTCTGTCCAAGAGCTGATAGTCCAGGGACAGGTGAGGTAGAGTTCATCAGTCTATCTCACCAACTCACCTGTTTCACCACCACCACACCTAGCATCACTCAATTCAGCACCTCACCCACCCCACCCCCCTCACCCACCCCACCAACTCACTCACCTCACCCACCCACTCACCTCACCCACGCACCCCCTCACCCATCCCCTCACCTCCCCCACCCCACCCCTCCCCCACCCACCACCTCCCCCACCCACCGCACCCCCTCACCTCCCCCTCACCTCCCCCACCCCACCCCTCCCCCACCCACCACCTCCCCCACCCACCCCACCCCCTCACCTCCCCCTCACCTCCCCCACCCCACCCCTCCCCCACCCCTCACCTCCCCCACCCACTCACCCATTAAACGTTTGATTACAGGGCGACTCCGGCGGCCCCCTGATGTGCCAGACCAACGGTCGCTACTTCCTGCACGGTGTGGTGTCTGAGGGGTGGGGCTGTGCCAGACCCAGGTACCCCGGCATCTACACCAAGACCACCAACCCCCAGGTCATGTCCTTCATACGCTCAGCCTTGACCTACTGGTGACATCTCCCATACCGGCAATACAACTTTGTTTTCTGATGTTTCGAGAATATGTTAACACATTGAATATTTGGGGCAGCTACTGTTTATTAATAAAAAGTTGCAACAATTTCACCAACCAGTTTTAGTTTTGTTCTAATTCTATATTCTAACTAGCTTTAAGTACGACTTCCGGTCAGCAAAAATCACTTATAATTCAAGAGATAAAATCTTATAGCTATGTATGAGATTTCGTCCAACTAACTGAAAGGGTACTCAATTATTCGGTATTTTAGAAACCAGAAATAAAGTACCACTTCCGGTTATTGAAGGTCACTCAAAAATTGAAAAAAAAAAAAAAAAAAAAAAAAACAACAACAACAACAGCAAAATATAAGATTTGATACTTTTATTTAAAATTTCGTCTACCAACTGAAATAGTATTCAAATTATCGTGTTCCATTGGGAATAGAGTAAAGAAAAACTTCCGGTTAACGGAAATCAAGATTTGGTAGAAACCTACGTACGTACGCATACAATGTAATACTTAATGCGAAATTGTATTCACCTACGCAAACGGTTCTTAAGTTACTGGCTTTTGAGAAGTAAGAAGTACATTATGTACCATTTCCGGTTACCGTAAATCGCTCAAAAGGTATAGATGACTACACATTTCATTAAATACTAATATATGAAAATATTGTGTTCACAGCCATAAGCACAGACTTACAAACAAAATTCGAAAACTAAGTTTTTCCGACGTCGAATTTTTGCCTGATAACAATACTCTACAGTGCTACATACTCAACTTTATTTTCGTGAAAGCCGAAAGGAAAAATAAAATTAAAAAATTACAATTATTTAAAAGATTATTTGAAAAATAATAAGATTACTTATCTTATTCTTGGTAGTTTTCTAATTCATATTGGCAGCATACACTATTTCAGTTAATTTACTCTGATGACTTACTGGAGATTAACTAAACATGGTAGGGACAACAAACGATATGAGCAAGAAACTTTTGATTGAAATATTTTTATTTGTGGCTGTTCATCTGTTCACCTGTGTAGTTGTCTATCTAACTGTCCACCTGTCCATCTAACAACCTGTCCACCTGTCCACCTTTCCACCTTTCTGGTTGTCCGGCTGTCCATCTGACCGTCTGTCTAGCTATCCATCTGACAACCTGTCCGCCTCTTCGGCTGTCCAGCTCCTGCCCCCTCCCCAGGGGCGGAACTACAGTGCCGCCAGACCCCGCAATGCAGGGGGGCCCAGGCCGTTTAGGGGCCCACAGCCGACCAAAATCAATTTTTTTTATAGTTAAAAAAATAATTTTCTTGTAAAAAAAAACCAACAGATCTATTACAGTATTGATGTTCTACAGTTGCTAGGTAACACACGCAGTTTTGTAAAGGAAAAAAAAAGTATAGGCTACATGAGTTATAGTGTGAAAGATAGACAATTGTTCAAACCACTTCCTTGACTTATTTCCCTTTTTTAAATAGTCAAATACGTGTGCTCTTTAGAAACTTTTAATAGATTTGCACTAAACAAATTAAAAAGCAATTACTTCTCTTAATTATAATTTTAAAAAACATAATAAAGGATGACATAGTATAAGAAGGAAATTTATTAAAAAATAATAATATAAATAAAAAAAACAACATAAAGATTAACATAAGGCGAGAAACCATATATATATATATATATATATATATATATACGGGGCCGAAATTTTTTTTTTGCGGGGTGGCCCTTTTTTTCTAGTTCCGCCACTGCCCCTCCCCCCTCCTCCTCAGGCCGAACTGACCAGACACCTGGCAGGTCTGGTCAGCGAGATATGCTTGACCACCACGTCCACGGTGACGTCACCACAGTCCTGTAGAATGTTCCTGGCACAAGTGGCTGCTAGCTCCTGCATCCTGTGGGGACAAAAGCAGGAAACTGGTCATTTACCTACACCGTCAAACTTGGTCATTTACCTACACCGTTAAACCTGGTCATTTACCTACACCGTTAAACCTGGTAATGTACCTACATCGTTAAACCTGGTCATTTACCTACACCGTTAAACCTGGTAATGTACCTGCTTCGTCAAACCTGGTCATTTACCTACACCGTTAAACCTGGTAATGTACCTGCTTCGTCAAACCTGGTCATTTACCTACACCGTTAAACCTGGTAATGTACCTGCTTCGTCAAACCTGGTCATTTACCTACACCGTTAAACCTGGTAATGTACCTGCTTCGTCAAACCTGGTCATTTACCTACACCGTTAAACCTGGTAATGTACCTGCTTCGTCAAACCTGGTCATTTACCTACACCGTTAAACCTGGTAATGTACCTGCTTCGTCAAACCTGGTCATTTACCTACACCGTTAAACCTGGTAATGTACCTGCTTCGTCAAACCTGGTCATTTACCTACACCGTTAAAGCTGGTAATGTACATGCTTCGACAAACCTGGTCATTTACCTACACCGTTAAACCTGGTAATGTACCTGCTTCGTCAAACCTGGTCATTTACCTACACCGTTAAACCTGGTAATGTACCTGCTTCGTCAAACCTGGTCATTTACCTACACCGTTAAACCTGGTAATGTACCTGCTTCGTCAAACCTGGTCATTTACCTACACCGTTAAACCTGGTAATGTACATGCTTCGTCAAACCTGGTCATTTACCTACACCGTTAAACCTGGTAATGTACCTGCTTCGTCAAACCTGGTCATTTACCTACACCGTTAAACCTGGTAATGTACCTGCTTCGTCAAACCTGGTCATTTACCTACACCGTTAAACCTGGTAATGTACATGCTTCGTCAAACCTGGTCATTTACCTACACCGTTAAACCTGGTAATGTACCTGCTTCGTCAAACCTGGTCATTTACCTACACCGTTAAACCTGGTAATGTACCTGCTTCGTCAAACCTGGTCATTTACCTACACCGTTAAACCTGGTAATGTACCTGCTTCGTCAAACCTGGTCATTTACCTACACCGTTAAACCTGGTAATGTACCTGCTTCGTCAAACCTGGTCATTTACCTACACCGTTAAACCTGGTAATGTACCTGCTTCGTCAAACCTGGTCATTTACCTACACCGTTAAACCTGGTAATGTACCTGCTTCGTCAAACCTGGTCATTTACCTACACCGTTAAACCTGGTAATGTACCTGCTTCGTCAAACCTGGTCATTTACCTACACCGTTAAACCTGGTAATGTACCTGCTTCGTCAAACCTGGTCATTTACCTACACCGTTAAACCTGGTAATGTACCTGCTTCGTCAAACCTGGTCATTTACCTACACCGTCAAACCTGGTAATGTACCTGCTTCTTCAAACCTGGTCATTTACCTACATCGTCAAACCTGGTAATGTACCTGCTTCGTCAAACCTGGTTATTTACCTACATCGTCAAACCTGGTAATGTACATGCTTCGTCAAACCTGGTCATTTACCTACATCGTCAAACCTGGTAATGTACCTGCTTCGTCAAACCTGGTCATTTACCTACATCGTCAAACCTGGTAATGTACATGCTTCGTCAAACCTGGTCATTTACCTACATCGTCAAACCTGGTAATGTACCTGCTTCGTCAAACCTGGTCATTTACCTACATCGTCAAACCTGGTAATGTACATGCTTCGTCAAACCTGGTCATTTACCTACATCGTCAAACCTGGTAATGTACCTGCTTCGTCAAATCTGGTAATGTACCTGCTTCGTCAAACCTGGTCATTTACCTACACCGTCAAACCTGGTCATTTACCTACACCGTCAAACCTGGTCATTTAACAACACCGTCAAACCTGGTGATTTACCTACACCGTCAAACCTGGTCATTTACCTACACCGTCAAACCTGGTCATTTAACAACACCGTCAAACCTGGTCATTTACCTACATCGTCAAACCTGGTCATTTACCTACACCGTCAAACCTGGTCATTTACCTACACCGTCAAACCTGGTCATTTACCTACATCGTCAAACCTGGTCATTTACCTACACATTCAAACCTGCACATTTACCTACACATTCAAACCTGCAATTTACCTTCACCTTCTAACCTAGTCATAAACCTGCTTTATTAAACCTAGTCATTTACTTGCTTCGTCAAGATAGTTCAAGTGCTTGTTACCCATTCTGTTGTAGGCATTACTACATATAGTGACAGAACAAAAACAACCCACATCTGACATAAACCACGTGACGTGACAACCTACACCTGACAGACCACGTGACAACTTACACTACACACAGACCCTCCTGTGACGTGACGTGTGACGACATCCTGTCTATCAGCTGACGAGTACACACGTTGACGTCAGGCTTCCTCTGGTCATAGCACGTGCTGTTGAGGCCTGACGATATGCAGGTTCAAAAAGTGTCAGTACAAACTACGATAAAATGGCCTTCATTAGATTTCATTACTTTAATATTAGTTTGAGATACAAAATATGGAGGTCATTTTCAACAGCAGGTATCAATTGTAATAATGCTACCATCTTTATTACTGCTACAATCTTAACACTGCCACCATCTTTCTGAGTTTCTTTCAAGTTAAATTCGGGGGGGGGGGGGGGGGGGTAAAAAATAAAAAAATATATAATTTATTTAGAAAACATATTCTTAAGCCAGTGCCCACCCCCATCCCGGTAATTAAAGTGCATCACCCCCCCCCCCCGGCTCATAAGTTTTAAATGCCCCCTCCCCCAAACCTGAAGAGAAACGCCTAAAAGAAACAGCCATCTTTAATGCAGCTACCATCTGTACTGTGCTCCCATCTTAATGAATCTACCTGCTTTACTACTTCTGAAATCTCGCCACTTCTACCAATATTTTATCTCCAAGAGCACCAGAGTCGACCAACACAACACCTATTACATCACACAAATGTGACAATATTACATCACCCACATGTGACATAAAGCGCCAGAGTCGACCAACACCAACACTTGTCACATCATAAAAGTGACACAAAGCGCCAGACGGATGTGATGGATAGTTTGTCACCCCCAACATGACAGACGTCACGTGCACATATTTAACCAGCCCTGGATGACGTTTGATGTTAGCACAAAACATTGGCCTAGTTGTTTCAACTTTAATTTTTAAAAATTATTCTCCTGAAAATATTCATTTTAACAAAACTGTTTTTCACATTGCTTTTTCGATACGCCACAAATGAAATTAAAGTAATACGAGCCGACCCGCGGCGTATTATAAAATTTATACGCCGCTATTTAGTTGTTTTATTTTCTACTTTTCAGTAATTCATAATTTGTGAATTCGACAGTACTAATGCTGCCACTGAAAATATCTAGATCTATCTATATATATAATTCTCTTCTGGGATCAGTTAGAAAACAAGCTGCAAGCGCCTCCTTGCAGTCCCCTCTCTTTCTCTCTATCACTATCACTACCACCCCCCACCCCACCCCAACATTGTCTGGTGAGCGGTGTTCACTCTAAATTTTTACAAAGCTAAATGTTTACAAATCGTAGAGCAGTACAGCCGGGTTTCTATTATGGGCAGATAATTTAGTTCGATTTTAAACTTACAGGAGGTAACTAAGAAATAACTAAGAGGAGGTTGCTTTCACGGGGGGAGGGGGGGGGGGGGTGTAGTATAGGGGTTAGGGGAAAGGGGGGGGGGGGGAGTTCGTGTTTTAAAGCAAATATTTTCAGTGGCAGCATTGGTACTGTCGAATTTACAAATTATGAATTACTGAAAAGTAGAAAATAAAATAACTAAATAGTGGCGTATGATACGCTGCGGGTCGGCTCGTATATATATAATTCTCTTCTTGGAGACGTTAGAAGACAAGCTGCAAGCGCGCCTAGCAGTCCCCTCTCTTCCTCTAGGCATATCGCAACCCCCCCCCCCCCACCCCCACATGGTCTGGTGAGCTGTGGTTTTTGAATACGATTATATAAGGCCCGCTAATTCCCCATTGAACACTTGCACTAATCCCCATTGGACATCTGTGCTAATTCCTCATTGGAAACCTGCACTAATCCTCCATTTAACGCCTGTGATAATCCTCGATTTGACACCTGCACTAATCCCCCATTGAACACCTGCAATAATCCCCATTGAACACCTGCACTAATCCCCCATTAAACACCTGCGCTAATCCCCCATTGAACACCTGCAATAATCCCCACTGAACACCTGCACTAATCCCCCATTGAACACCTGCACTAATCCCCATTGAACACCTGCACTAATCCCCCATTGAAAACCTGCACTAATCCCCACTGAACACCTGCGCTAATCCCTCATTGAACACCTGCACTAATCCCCCATTGAACACCTGCCCTAATTCCCCATTGAACACCTGCGCTAATTCCTCATTGAACACCTGCATTAATCCCCATTGAATACCTGCACTAATCCCCCATTGAACACCTGCACTAATCCCCTACTGAACACCTTCACTAATCCCCACTGAACACCTGCACTAATCCCCACTGAACACCTGCGCTAATCCCCCATTGAACACATTTACTAATCCCCCATTGAACACATGCTCTAATCCTCCATTGAACACCTGCATTAATCCCCATTGAACACCTGCACTAATCCCCATTGAACACCTGCGCTAATCCCCCCACTGAACACCTGCACTAATCCCCATTGAACACCTGCGCTAATCCCTCATTGCACACCTGCAGTAATCCCCCACTGAACACATGTGCTAATCCCCCACTGAACACCTGCACTAATCCCCACTGAACACCTGCACTAATCCCCCACTGAACCCCTGCACTAATCCCCACTTAACACCTGCACTAATCCCCCACTGAACAGTTACACTAATCCCCCATTGAACACCTGCACTAATCCTCCATTGAACACCTGCACTAAACCCCCATTGAACACCTGCACTAATCCCCCACTGAACACGTGCACTAAACCCCCATTGAACACCTGCACTAATCTCACCTTTAGTACTGCACAGAGCGCTGATGTACCCAGGCAGACCGTTGGCCTCCAGACTTGGTGCCGTCATGACTTTCTCAGGCCAGCAGCGGGTCAACTGATCAATCTGGCACTTGATGGCCTGGATAAACTCCCCCTGCATCCTGCCACACAAAGATTTTTGTAGATGCTTAGATGATAGTTCCACCGCTCCATGCCCACACCCTACAACAACTTCAGATTTGCACTCACCTACACAACACTTCTATATTTAGCGAGAAGACCGAGTTACTCTGGTCACGTGTGAATCCCAGCTCTGAAAAACATTTCATCAGCTCGGACTTTCGGATTTCTGGGTTGGGGGAACATGACGTCATCGGCTGTGACGTCACCGTCTGAGCTAGCCCAAGCAAGATTGCTGCAGCTAAAGCTAGGGACAGATGAGTAGACAAAGTTGATGGTTGAAAACAAAAGAAATTGTTTGTAACTTTTCATTGTTTCCATTTTAACTAATTTGGTTTTTTACTTTCTCGTATATACGAAGTATAGAAAAAGTCTTGTAATCGTGCAAAAAAAAAAAAAAAAAAAAAAACCGGGAGTGATCTCCCCTAAACTTTCTCGAATATTCTTATATAATACAACAGGGGATGGCAACTCAGGATATAGACATGATTTTTAATCCATTTTAAATACTTAAAGTTTTAAAAATAGAATAAAATCTCGTAGACAAAAGAATTGCACACTAAGTGAACGCCAAATAAAAATGGGCATAATAGTTATTAATAGTGCGCAATATTATTAGTACTTTATAAATTTACATGCGTTTTTTGAGAAATCGGAAATAACGTAAATTACTACTTCCGGTCAACGGAAATTACTCAAAATTTGATAGAAGGTAGAGAATTTGATCATTTACTTATATGTGAAATTTCATTTATCTATCTGAAATAGTACTCAAGTTATAGGCTTTTGAAAAATTCAAAGTAGAAAAAGTACCCCTTGCGGTGATCGGAAATCGCTCAAAAGTAGATACGGATCTACGATTTTGATAAAATACTTATATATGAAATTTCATCAACCTAGCTGTAACGGTACTCAAGTTATCGTGTTTACACATAGACAGACACACAGACATACGGACAAGATTGCAAAATTATGTTTTTCCGTATCAGTGAGGTGTAAAACGTCGAGATTTGTAAAAATCTCGATTTTTTTTTGCACGATTACAATACTTTCTCTATACTTCGTATACACGAGAAAGTAAAAAAAAAGTACTGATAATTTTGCGCATTATTATGCACATTTCATTTGGCGTTCACTTGGTGTGCAATTCTTTTTTTTCAACGAGATTTTGTTCTATTTTAAAAACTTTAAGTATTTAAAATGGAGTTCCCATCCCCTATTGTTTTATTTAAGAAAATTCGAGAAAGTTTAGGGGAGATCACTCCCGGTTTATTAAAATATTGATATTAAACCAACAATCAGCGAGCGGGTGACACAGCTAAAAGATTGAACTCACCTGGACACAAGCTGGACACGGCCATGTTGAGACAAATGAAGAAGCCACAGTGATGGACAATGAACGAATTAACCTCGGCGTGTTAGATACACAATTTGCATATCTAAAAATAGCCGCCAACAGAGATGGATGACACTACAAGTCTCGGTTCAAAATAATTTAAAATTATTTAAAGTAAATAAAAAAAAAAAAACCTATGCCCTCACTAACCCTCGAAATCATATAAAATAGCAGGTTAGTTCCGATATTCGCGATTTTATTTTATTTTTGTTCTTAAAGAACAAGACAATAATTTACACTTCTTTTTCAACTTGACTTTGTAAGGAAAAAGTTGATTAAAATCCCATTTGTAGACTGACGTCGCAAGCTCTCACCAGACAAGAACAAAATATTAGCTGGCATGCTGTGACGTAAATTTAGAACTAAGTGACGTAACATTGAATAACGATAATCGATCGCAATGACGTCATACGTAAAAGACAAGAGGACCCGACTTTTGGAAATGTTTTATTGACGTCATCACATCACCTGCCGTCCAGCAGCTTTCAGCGGGCTACCTGTGTGTTTGTTGTTGCAGTTTCACAACAACAATGTATCAACACATCAACAATTTATCAACACATCAACAATATATCAACACAACAACAATGTATCAACACATCAACAATATATCAACACATCAACAATATATCAACACATCAACAATATATCAACACATCAACAATAGATCAATACATCAACAATGTATCAACACATAAACAATACATCAACACATCAACAATACATCAACACATCAACAATATATCAACACATCAACAATATATCAAAACATCAACAATAGATCAACACATCAACAATATATCAACACAGCAACAATATATCAACACAGCAACAATATATCAACACATGAACAATGTATCAACACATGAACAATGTATCAACACAGCAACAATATATCAACACAGCAACAATATATCAACACAGCAACAATATATCAACACAGCAACAATATATCAACACATGAACAATGTATCAACACATGAACAATGTATCAACACAGCAACAATATATCAACACAGCAACAATATATCAACACATCAACAATATATCAACACATCAACAATAGATCAACACATCAACAATATATCAACACATCAACAATGTATCAACACATTAACAATATATCAACACATTAACAGTATATGAACACATGGACAATATATCAACACATCTTCAACAATAAAATATCACCTTCCTTTAATTTTACACCAACAACGTCAAAATATCCATTCCATTACTGTTATGTTATATTCTGTTGCACATACAAATTTCGTCAAGAAAATATACACACACGTTAAGATTTATACAAAAAAATATACACACAAGATTTATACAGTAGACCAGTATGTACATCTATCACATATAGTTCAGCCCCGAGCCAGGTATATAGGATACTGGCAACAGATGTATTTTGTTCTGCATATTGTAGCAAGACAAACTGCTAGTTTATAACTTAATTAGCCATTTAATTAACGTGCAATTAATATTCAAATACAATTGTGATGTTCTGTTTTGTTTGGCTAAAAATATACTAAAGGGCCGTGATTTTGTCTTTTTCTTCATTATTGCTAAGTTAGTTATCTCCCTTCACACATGTCGTGTATTAGTTGCTTCCCTTGATGAATAAATTGTGTCTTGTTAAAAAGTATAATTATTTCTAAAACAGCGATTCAAACACTTGTCTTTGTGTACATTTATGTGTACCTCGAGTTATTTCAAATATTCGCCACCGATTTTAACCTTTGGCAAACCGCAATATAAATAGCTTCCTGCTTTTTTGTGTTCAACTTATCAAAGTTTTTAACAATCAAGTACCGGACACAAACACTAGACGTCTGAGGTTCAGCTTTGATCAGAATCTTCGACGTCTTGCTCTGTCTCAAATTTTGTGTCTAGATCTGTTTCAACTTTAACGTCTAGATCTATCACAACTGACTTCAGGAATTTTATGACTTTGACGTCTTCATTTGCCATAAATTTGACGCCTGTTTCAGCTATGACGACAAATCTGTCCTGACATTGCAATCTGCCCTGACATTGAAGCGTTGTTTGCCTGAGTCCCGTGTTGTCTCACTAGGGCTCCGCTCCACCCAAGGGCTCTGTGAGCAACTTTAAATCTTCAGCTTGTTTTAAAAGTAGATTTTTGTAAATCTCACTTTTGTTTCTCATTACATTTGCATGTCAACACAAACAAATGTCTTTCGATACACCAGCATGACATCCGATGTCAACAGATGTCATGTCTCTGGAACCTGATGTGGCATGTGCATGTCAGGCTGCTCCACCTGTCGCTCCAGAAAGTAGGTCATGAGTTCACCCTTGCCCTTGACCTTGATGAGCCCCCTCTTCTCAAACGTGTAGCCGAAGACTTCCAGAATATTCTTGGTTTCCTCCACCACCTGGGCAAGTTGAGAAGAGATGTAGTGTTAACTTTAAAAAGTGAAAAGTTAGAAATGTTAACATATCACATTTAGGAAGTTGGTCTTTCGGCGTGCTAAAGAGTTCAAAAACTATTTTTATTTAAAAAATTAGATTTTTGAAAAACGGTACATTATTTAACTCTTTTTAATAAGAAAATAAGGTGCGAATGATAAGATTCAAACAATGCAGTTCATTTGGAGGTGCGGATTAGGGTGTGTGGGCGCAATGTGGGGGTGGGTGAAGGATGTGTGTGTATAGTATGTGTGTAGGGGCGATTGGGTGAGTGATGTGTGTGTGGGTGGTTTAAAGCACAGCACAAGCTTCAGACATGTCAAATAACTCTTAATTAACATTTCATTTAACCCGGGGCGTGGAGCCGGTAAACCGTCATACCTGTATCCTGCCGGCTTGACCGGTTGATTCCATCCGGCTGGACACATTGACCGTGTTGCCCCAGATGTCGTAATGCGGCTTTCTGGCGCCGATAACGCCGGCGATGATTGGTCCGTGGTTGATGCCTGGAGATGGGATCGATTAACTTTCAACAATCGATCAACTTTCAACAATCGATAAACTTTCAACAATCGATAAACTTTCAACAATCGGTCAACTTTCAACAATCGATCAACTTTCAAAAATCGATCAACTTTCGACAATCTTGAAATTCAAACCATAAATCAACAGTACACAATGTTGATATGACGAACATTAATATTCAACAATTATTCATATGTTCATTGAAATTAACATTTAATTATTCAGGCAATCACATGAATATTTCGTATATATTTTAAGAGCCCCCCCCCCATACTGGAGCCCCCATGAGATAATGAGCAATAAGTAAAAATTTACACCATTTACGGTTCGACTCACCGATTCGTAGAATAAAGTTGTTGAAAGACTGCTCGTTTATTTTCTTTATAACATCCTGTAGCGCATGCGCAAACTGAACTAGGTCATGCAGATGACTCCACCTTTCTTTTATGGTGGACACTTGCTGAAAACAATGGTATAATGTAATGAGCTAATATGTAACGAGCTAAAATGTAATAATCTAAAATGTAATGAACAAAAATTGAATGACTAAAATATAATTGCACTATGATATAATTAACTGACATTAGTACCATGTTGGAGTTCTAAATTAGATGCTCTAACCACAGTGAACATTATGCCCTAGCTATGCCCTAACAACTGTGTACATTATGCCCTAGCTATGCCCTAACCACTGTGTACATTATGCCCTAGCCACTGTGTACATTATGCTCTAGCTATGCCCTAACCACTGTGTACATTATGCCCTAGCTATGCCCTAACCACTGTGTACATTATGCCCTAGCCACTGTGTACATTATGCTCTAGCTATGCCCTAACCACTGTGTACATTATGCCCTAGCTATGCCCTAACCACTGTGTACATTATGCCCTAGCCACTGTGTACATTATGCTCTAGCTATGCCCTAACCACTGTGTACATTATGCCCTAGCTATGCCCTAACCACTGTGTACATTATGCCCTAGCCACTGTGTACATTATGCTCTAGCTATGCCCTAACCACTGTGTACATTATGCCCTAGCTATGCCCTAACCACTGTGTACATTATGCCCTAGCCACTGTGTACATTATGCTCTAGCTATGCCCTAACCACTGTGAACATTATGCCCTAACCAATGTGTACATTATGCCCTAGCTATGCCCTAACCACTGTGTACATTATGCCCTAGCTATGCCCTAACCACTGTGTACATTATGCTCTAGCTATGCCCTAACCAATGTGAACATTATGCCCTAGCTATGTCCTAACCACTGTGTACATTATGCTCAAGCTATTCCCTAACCAATGTGTACATTATGCTCTAGCTATGCCCTAACCAATGTGTACATTATGCCCTAGCTATGCCCTAACCACTGTGTACATTATGCTCTAGCTATGCCCTAACCAATGTGAACATTATGCCCTAGCTATGCCCTAACCACTGTGTACATTATGCTCAAGCTATGCGCTAACCAATGTGTACATTATGCTCAAGCTATGCCCTAACCAATGTGAACATTATGCCCTAGCTATGCCCTAACCAATGTGTACATTATGCTCAAGCTATGCCCTAACCACTGTGTACATTATGCCCTAGCTATGTCCTAACCACTGTGTACATTATGCCCTAGCTATGCCCTAGCCACTGTGTACATTATGCCCTAGCTATGCCCTAACCACTGTGTACATTATGCCCTAGCTATGCCCTAACCACTGTGAACATTATGCCCTCGATGCCCACCTTTTTAGTATCCTCTGCCACCATACCGCTGGCGGCCATGTAAGTTGGTCCGACTGTTTTAATTTTCACGATGGTTGAAAATTTGGCCAGGTTTAGCAGCTCGTCGTAGTCGGAAATAATTTCATTGAGAAATCTGGATAAATTGCTCAGAGATAATTTCATTGAGAAATCTGGATAAATTGCTCAGAGATAATTTCATTGAGAAATCTGGATAAATTAATCAGAGATAATTTCATTGAGAAATCTGGATAGATTGATCAGAAATAATTTCATTGAGAAATCTGGTTAAATTAATCAGAAATAAGTTGCTGGATGATTCTGGGTTTAATTAGTCACGTTGACGTCATTTGAATTTAATTAATTGTTAGTTATTCTCAGGCAAGATCAAATGAAATAATCAATAAAAGGCTGCCGGAAATTAAAAAAAATAAATCATTTGCAAGAAATCCAATTAATTAAAAATAAATCCCCGTTAAACATGATTCTTTTTTGGATTCACAAGAAAAAAAAAAACAAAAAAAAAAACAAAAAAAAAACAAAAAAACAAAACAACAAACAACAAAAAAAAAAAAAAAAAAAAAAAAGATCGAAGAATACTCCGTGTAGAAAAACTGGGATGGAGTGACGTGAGACCCACCTGAGGCACTCCAGACCGTTGTTGTTGATGGAACTCTCGTTGTAGAAGGCGTGGAAGTTGGGGCAGGCAGCAAACATGACGCCCGTCTCTTCATAGGAGTGGCTGTACAGCTCCTGGGGACAGAATATGGGGGTGGTGAGTTCAGTCACAGTCAAGTATTAGGAGTTTTTTTCCCAGACATTGTACTTCAAGGGGTGGCGCACTTAACATTTCTGGGGTGGGGGCGGTTAAAGTAGCCTATACATTTTCTATATAAATTATATATTTTTCTATTTGTCCATGGGGGGGGGGTGGATGGGAAGGAGGATGGGCAAACTCCAGGGGTGGGGCATGGCAGACAGTTGCAGAATAAAGACAGAAGTAGAATAAAGACAGCCGTAGATTAAAGACAGCATCAGAATAAAGACAGCAGCAGTATAAAGACAGCAGCAGTATAAAGACAGCAGACAGCTACCGAATCTTTTTTCCTCCTCCCCAGAAAGTCCTTGGCCACGTGAGCTGGCATCAGGTTGTAGACCAGAGCCTCGTTCTTGACCTGCAGGTCGGCGGCCTTCTCTTTCTCCTTCTTGGACTCTTCCTTCCACAGGTAGAGTTTTCTTGTGGTCAGTTCCATCTAGAGGGGGGGGGGGGGGACATACACATTAAACATCACAGTGGTCAACTCCATGTAGATTTGTGTGGTTGTGTGGAGTGTGATAGACACACAAAAATCAGTATTTTTAGAAGTTTTGTTTTTTCCAATTTCTTTGGATTTACTTTGGTGTACAAGACTTCAATGTTTAATGTAAACTAGCAAGTAAAACGTCACGTGACTTCAACACACACAGCATGCTTTGTTACTTCACCTGAAAGTTGAAGAAGTTCAAGGCCACAGCTGACGCAATCATCTGCCCCAGCAGACGATATTTGATGTGGGGGTAGACCTCGTCCCTGCAATAGAGAATCCAAGGTCAAGGTCATCACATTTTGATACCGCACCAGTCGTATCGATAGATGTTGGGTTTAGATTAAGGAGAGACTGTGTGTGTAGGGGGGGGGGGAAGGAAGGTTGGGGGAGGTCTTGTATCTAGCCATAGCATCTCTCACCAGGCATTTGACGGTGTGGTCGAGTGATAGAGCGCGCCAATGCTAGCTGGAATGTCTAGAGTTCGGCTCTTGGGCTCCATGTGTGTGCAAGTCCACACTCTTCTGGTGGGTTCCTGGCTCCCGAGTTAGGAAAAGTAAATACCACGTCATATAGGCGAGGTAGAGCAACATCACACAGATAAACTCTACTCCCCCATGTGTTTTCAGTTCTAAGTGTAAATACCAGCTACTCCCTCCCTTGACCTAGACAATCTAGCTAAAACCAAACGTACTCATATAAAACACGGTTGTAGTTCCCCTAGGTTCCCTCCCCTAAATAACCCCTCCCACCCCGACCCCCACCCCCTTGACCCCAGACAGACCCCATGAAACGTACTCATATAAAACACGGTTGTAGTTCCCGTAAGTTCCCTCCACTCCCAGTAGAACGATGAGACAATGACTTCCTGTTACTAAAAATATCAGCACGCCCTTGACCACGTGACCGAGATTGACCATAGAGGAGATGGCTATGAGGATGAGGTTGGCGCCGTGGGTGTAGTAGACGATGTAGAAACAGGCGCTGTCGTCTGTTGCAATATGGCTGCCGTTTTTTATGTTGATAGTGACGTTTCTTTGTTCGCACTGGAACTATAAATAAACAAATAGTTGGGTCCAGGTCGGTGAAATCTTGACAAGAATCTACCAAAACAGACATTAAGTGCATCAAGTTCAACAAAATCTTATTAATACTGTAATATTCAATTTAAATGTCAATGCTAGTAAAATAAAACTCTAGATTTAGTTGTTGTGTAAAGAAACATGAACTACAATGTAATGTAATCAATTCTACATTTTAGTATAGTAGAATTTCCATTAATGATATATTTTTTATATATCCTTAAATTAAAATATCGTTATATCTGTAATCGTATTTTACCAACAATAAACGATACCTAGAGTGAACTTCACATTGTTAACAGTAAGAAACGATACTAGTAGTTGAAGAAAAGGATATGACCAGTCCATATAAACCACAGATGGTTTTGTTCAATGACTTCTTTTATTGTTGTCAATGGCACAAGTTTAAACTATGAATGAAAGTTTGTCTAAAACTTACGACCGGAACTGCGTCACACAGGAAGAACACGACACATCCGGTAAATCCCCACAACAACTTGAGGACCGCGTGCTTTTCGACGGACATGGCGAACCTGACGACACTTTTTGGAAACTTCTGGAAGGTACACGCAAAACATCATTTTCAGAGGAGAAATAGCAAAGATCAGATTTGTTATAGTAAAGTTTAGATTTGTTATAGTAAAGTTTACGATTTGTTATAGTAAAGTTTAGATTTGTTTTTAGTAAAATCTGTAGGACATGCCTGAGTCCACCCAGCAATAATGGGTACCTGACTTACGTCATGCAAACTAAGGCGACGCTGACTACACTATCCCCCATCAAAATCAAATTTAACTTGCCTCCATCGTCGCAAAAGTTTGTACTAATTCCTTCAATTCCAGTTTGCAAGCGTAATCACATTCTATTGAAATTGTCCACGAGTCTACTTTGTACGTTACGACATTGCCTCCCCCCCCCATTTAGAAAATTTCAAGTGCCCCCCCCCCCCCCCAGTGGCGTAGCGAGGTCGGGTGTCACCTGATGCGGCACTTAATGGTGTCACCTTCCAGGGGACAAATTTTCGATTTGCACACACCCCCCTCAAACGTTCGATTTGCACTCCCCCCCCCCTCCCCTCAAACTTTCGATTTTCAACCCCTTAAGTTTTTCTCTATATATTTTGCTATTTTTTGCCTTGGTGTCACCACCCCTAAATGGTGTCACCCGGTGCGGTCCGCACCCTCCGCCCCCCTCGCTACGCCTCTGCTCCCCCCCCCCCCCCTCCCAGGAGCAAAAAGTCTGGAAAGATGATTTTAGACCAGGGGTCGGCAACCTTTTGCGACGGAAGAGCCAAAAGTTAAAATTTTGACTATTTCCCAGTTTTTAAAGAGCCACTGACATTTTTATTTTAATATTTTATTATTTTATTTGGGTTAGAAAAATAAATTTGATTTGTTATTTAACATAAATAGCTTTAAATATGAAATAATATTTATTCATATAAAAACATACACATGTTTCGCCAGAATAATGAAATTAGTAATTAAAAAAAATATAGGACTATCCCAATCCTCTTTAGAAGCTGTTAATTAAAAAAAAAAAAATTTACGATAACACCGGTTTAGGAGGTGTCTCCCATTAGTAGGAAGGCCTCAACACGTCTATCGCCGACTAACTGGCTTAGATATCGGTTTGGTTACCGTGTATCGGTCCCTTCTGTCCTTTGGTTCTCACCAGGCTTATCTTCCACCTCACAGAGCCAAGGGTAGGCTCGTACCCCACCGTCCAGTACCCGGCTCAACAGTAGGAAGCTAATTATAACTACGTCACTCACGTCAAATTAATGATTACTGACGGATAGGGAAATGCATTCTAAATTAACATTCCCAATTAACGATATTCGAAAAAGTCGGCACTTGGGCCGTGGCAAGAATGGAATTGTTCTCAAAGGGATGAGTGTTTTTATCCTGTTTAAACGTGTGTATCCTTACAGTATAATTTGTGTTATGAGTTTTGAAAATGAAATAATATAATTATTAATATTTGTGCAAGGAGCTGGAGAGCCGCACTGTGACACCAAAAGAGCCGCATGCGGCTCGCGAGCCGCAGGTTGCCGACCCCTGTTTTAGACGCATCTCATAATGAATGTCTGCTAACATTAAGTATTGCTATCTACAACGGCTATTGATGGTTTTATTTTTTAACTTGATAATGTTAAAAAAAACTACCAAACTATTTTGTTTAAAACTTCTGCTCTATATAGTTTTTACAATAGCAAATAATAACTTAAAGTTGTATTTATAAGTAAGAGGTCAACCCTAAGGTGCAGGAACTTGAAATGAATGGAAAGTTAAGCAACGAATTATCTCCCATTTGGAAATATAAATACCAAAATTTAATTCAAGGGAACTAACGTTCACAAGTATAGCTAAATTAACCAAGAATAACTAAAACACGCTTGAAATACACAATAAAACGCTCTAAATTTCATTAGATAATTATTATAAGAAATCTTTTATATTAGCTATGTAACCGTGTCAAAAGAATATATTTTACTCATTGACTACTAAACTGTAGGTTTTGTTTGAAAGTCTAAAGATGGTAGCTTTATTATATCATAATTCTAGTCAATTTTGATGACATACATTCACTAGCAATAATATATTGTGCATTTTTATTCAAAATTTTGGATCCCCCAAATAAAGGGACGCTTTTCAAAATATTCAAATGCAGGTAATTATTTTGAGATATTGCCATATTTATTGATTAAATAATTAAAAAAAAAATTATTTGTAAAAAACAATGTTTACGGGTAGTTATAAAATTCCAGCCAATATAATATTATACATTAATACTATAAGAGTGGTAAAACAGATTCCTAAAAAACTCAAGATTTTTCAGCTAGAGGACACCTACCTTTCTTTATAGGGTAGTCCGTCCTCATCTAACGTACGATAAACTAGAATACTTGATATACTCTACTACATTCACAACACATATCAAACTTCGATACCTAAACATAACAAGACTTGATGCTACAGAACTACGACACCAGCAAGCTCTACAAACGATACTCCAAATCAACAACGATTTCATTGGACTCACTACTACACGTTAACAGTCAATACAATTCGATACCTGAATACCACAAGACTCGATAGTCACGAACTCCTGAACTACGATACTTCATCACTACTACCAATCAGATTCCACTAGACCTACACCTACACGACAACAGCTAAATAAAAAATACGACACTTAAACACTTAGATAGTTTATACCTTCAAAACCATATCAGCAACAGCCTTCCACTGCTACTCCCAAATTAAAACAATTCATCAAAACTTACCAAACAAGGGACAATACTTTGAACACCCCGTCATTATTACAAAACTCTATACACCAGAACAGATTTCTAACAAAGTCAGAGAAAACGAGATTTACACGCCCTATTAAAAACCAAAATTGCACGTGTTTTGTAACGCCCCGTCATGCGCTGGAGCGATCACTAAATCAACATTAAAATAGATAACCGTTTGAAATGTTCGAAATTTAAATTACGAACTTATTTAATAGTTTTGTACATCAATTATGTGACACCAAAATAAAAAGGCTAACAGACTGGTAAAAAACGCCCAGACCTTTCCAAATTAGGGAGCTGGGGGTACATTTTCACCATCGCGAATAAATATAAGCTATATAGGCCTAATTTTGGGGTGGGGGTGCATAATTGATAGTTCGTCCTGGGCGCCGAAATAGATCGCTCCGCCTTTGTATATTATCATCCATAGTTTATAAAAGATAATCAAAGTTATTAATTATTGGGTACTTTTTGATAATAGCGATTAAACCTTTTCGCCCCCCCCCAATGATGGCGCCCTAGGCGACCGCCTAGTTCGCCTTATAAGTAGCGCCGGCCTTGCGTCCAGAAGATCTGTTTAATTGACATCAACATTATGAGGACATTATGAGGACATTATGAGGACATTATGAGGACATTATGATGACATTATGATGACATTATGAGGACATTATGAGGACATTATGAGGACATTATGAGGACATTATGAGGACATTATGAGGACATTATGAGGACATTATGAGGACATTATGAGGACATTATGAGGACATTATGAGGACATTATGAGGACATTATGAGGACATTATGAGGACATTATGAGGACATTATGAGGACATTATGAGGACATTATGAGGACATTATGATGACATTATGATGACATTATGAGGACATTATGAGGACATTATGAGGACATTATGAGGACATTATGATGACATTATGAGGACATTATGAGGACATTATGAGGACATTATGAGGACATTATGAGGACATTATGAGGACATTATGAGGACATTATGAGGACATTATGAGGACATTATGAGGACATTATGAGGACATTATGAGGACATTATGAGGACATTATGAGGACATTATGAGGACATTATGAGGACATTATGAGAGTAGTATATTAGGTCCCTTTTGGAGCGAATTTGGGTGGCGCAAAGGATATATAGGAAAATACTCACCCAGCCTGGGACAATGACATATAACAAAATACTCCCTAGGGTGGCGCAAAGACATATAGCAAAATACTCGCAGGGTGAAGGGTAAGGCGCAGGGTGAAGAGGGTGGCTCAGGGTGGCGCAGCACCCTGGGACAATGAGATATAATAAAATACTCGCAGGGTGAAGGGTGAGGGGCGCAGGGTGGCGCAGCAGCCTGGGACAATGACATATAGTAAAATACTCGCAGGGTGAAGGGTGAGTGGCGCAGGGTGGCGCAGCAGCCTGGGACAATGAGATATAATAAAATACTCGCAGGGTGAAGGGTGAGGGGCGCAGGGTGGCGCAGCAGCCTGGGACAATGAGATATAGTAAAATACTCGCAGGGTGAAGGGTGAGTGGCGCAGGGTGGCGCAGCAGCCTGGGACAATGAGATATAATAAAATACTCGCAGGGTGAAGGGTGAGTGGCGCAGGGTGGACCTAGTTACGTAATTTTAATGCGTTTTTAATGAGTTTTTAAATTTTTAATTAATTTTTATTATCGAGTTACGTAATTTAATTACTTTGTTTGTATTTTGTTTTTTAAATTTTAATTAATTTTAGTTTGATTTAATTAGTTTGAATTTAATTTTTAAATTTTAATTAGTTTTTTAATTAGTTACATAATTTAATTATTTGTTTGATTTTAATGAATTTAAATACTTTGTTTATTTATTTTGTTTTGTAATTTTTATTGACGAGTTACGTAATTGGATTATTTGTTTGATTTTAATTAATTTGATTTTAATTACTTTGTTTATATTGTGTAATTTTTATTAACGAGTTACGTAATTTGATTATTTGTTTACTTTTTTAATTGTTTAATTTGTTGTTTACTTGTTGTTTAATTTAATTACTTTGTATAATTTATTTGTTTGAAATTCATTTTAATTAGTTTGCTGTTAATTATTGGCGATAGATGTTACCAAGCGGGTGGTGGTGGTGGTGGTGGTGGTGGTGGTGGTAAATTTGCTTAAGATTATAAACTTCAAGTTTTAAAAATCAACAACGTTATGGACCATTCAGCAACACAACGAACGGTTACCGAAAATAG